AGTTGATATTTGTCCGAGGGGTTTCGTGGAGGGGGGGGGGCAAGTAGAGAGGTGACGGGCGTCATGTGACCTCCATACACCATTACTGCTGCGTGTCCAGTGGTCATAGCCTCCTGCTAACTGTTACAGGAACAATTGAAATTGACGTGGCAGCAATAGGGGAGGTAATCAATGTCTGCCAGGCGTTTGCTGTTGTCATTGGGTGAAAGTTTTACAATATAGCTCACAAATTTTTGTTAATGAAAAAAATTATAACATTGTGAATAATATAATGCACAATATATTATAATGATATATAAGACCAAATTCGTTTATTTATTCAATGTACAACATTTATAAAATGCAGAGCCGGCGTTAGGGGTACGCGGGGCCTATGGCCAACCATCCGCGCGGAGCCTTATATTTTTTTCATTGGTGTATAATATAATAAAACATGTACAGTGAGGCGTTTTTTTTTCTTCTCAACTCGCCTGCTTGTGTTTTATCAAATTCTTCTCTTAAATTGCGTTTCCTCGCTTTTGATGCACCTGATTCATACTTGCGAAATCTATCTCTGTCTCTTGTAGCCATGGTGTAGAGGAAAAATGGTGAAATCATTTTGAAGCAACGTTAAATCGGTCCACAGTGGCGGGTGATAGTACCAATATTTTCTCAATTTATCGAGTGTTAACAGGGGCATTCAAAGTGTGTGGATGCCGGGGAAAATAGCAAAACATTGATAGATTTCGGAATAAGCTCGAATCGTGAAAAACACTGTTTACGGCTATAGATATCCAAATGAAATGACTCTCAAATGTAATCACGGAGCTCAGTAAGGTGGAACACTGGGGGAGGGGGGGGGGTGACAGTTGGTGGGGTGAGGTGAAGGATTACTGTACATTTAAATCTATGGGATTCCAAACCCTAAAAAAATCAGTTCGGGTACTACGTTACTTGATCTCTGACCGCAGCCATTCAAGAGAAGGTGCGTGTTTATAGAGCGTCCGCGTATTACATTACAGATTAAGAACGCGTTCTCACAAGAGAAGGTCCGTATCTATAATTAGAAAGTGAACCATGTGACAGCCAGCTTCATGTTATTTATGAGTTTCGCGATGGCATGCTCGGACAGCCGGTAATTTAGACGTTTTAGAAATCAGGAGAACTTTACCATAAAACAGTCTCGGCCCGATGTATCAAACAGTATAGACTTTATAATTTGTTTAGTGTGCCTACACTATTTTAAAACAAGAATCACTATGGCCTTAACTATTATACTGAATATATCTACACAGAGGCGTAGCGAGGGGGGCGGGGGGGTGCGGACCATTTAGGGGGGTGACACTTAGGCAAAAAATAGCAAAATATATAGAGAAAAACTTGAGGGGGGTGCAAATCGAAAGTTTGAGGAGGGGTGCAAATCGAAAACTTGAGGGGGGGGGGGGGGTGGGGTGCAAATCGAAAGTTTGAGGAGGGGGTGCAAATCGAAAGTTTGAGGGGGGTGCAAATCGAAATTTTGAAAGTTTTTTTCCCGGGAAGGGTCGCTACGCCTCTGGGGGGGGGTGACACCATTAAGTGCCGCACCGGGTGACACCAGACCTCGTTACGCCACTGTCCCTACAATTACTTAAAATAAACATGTGCTTAATCACTTTACGAATACCGTTAAAGTTTACCAAAATGAAAATGGACATAATTACTGTATAAATGCCCTTCAAAAATATATAAATAAATACAAGTATATTGTATTTAAAGATGACCTGACAATATATAAAATAAATATGAACATAATTACTGTATGGATGCCTATCAAACGTATCGTGATGAATAAGCTCAAAAGATGCCCATACAGTGTATAAATTATGATTTTAGGGATAAATACCCCCCTCCTCCTCTGCAAGCCATCATCAGGTCACTTACTGTTTACTACAGGCACCCCTGCCTGCTCACTAAAAAAAAAACGTCTTCAACGGTCCGCAAACAATAGGGTATCTGTTTACGTTTTTCCCGATTTTACCTCCCATGTCAGGTCGGGGGCTAATTCGCGACCGCCATCTCCAGTCACCTCAGGACAATAGCGAGTCGACCGTGCCAGCGACGTGTGACACTTAAGTCTTTCTTTAGAATAACGGGCTGTCCCAGTCCATGTAGAGGATAACTCACTAACATCAGCCGTGGCCTCAGTTTTAACATCCAACAATTTCGGTCATTTAGTTGGTTGTTTTTTAAATTTAATTCAGCAAAGATTATTCAAGTTTACAAACTAATTCAGGCAATAATGGCGTTGCTGAAGCGCGGGGCCCCTTCAAGCGCGGGGCCTGGGGCGACCGCCCCGTTTGCCACCCCCTAACGCCGGCTCTGATAAAATGACAAAATTCTGCGGGCACATGTTCAAATATAATACAAGCCATGTGTACGCTAGTAACTCATGAATAAATAGACACGCTGGTAACATATATAGACACGCTGGTATTGAATAAATTAACTTGCTAGTAAGACAGGAATAAATAGATTTGCTAGTAACACAGGAATAAATAGATTTGCTAGTAACACAGGAATAAATGGATACCCTAGTAACACAGGTATAAATAGACTCATTAGTAACACAGGTATAAATAGACTTGCTAGTAACACGTGAATAAATAGACTTGCTAGTAACACAGGTATAAATAGACTTGCTAGTAACAAATTAATAAATAGACTTGTTAGTAACACGGGAATAAATAGACTTGCTAGTAACCCAGGAATAAATGGATACCCTAGTAACACAGGTATAAATAGACTTGCTAGTTAGGAGCCATCTCTCAGCGCGTAGGTCTCAAGATCAACAAAGAAAAGACAGAAGTGATGAGAATTAACAATAATCAGGAGGCTCCGGTGACAATAGACGGAAGACAGCTAAATGATGTGCAAGAATTTGTCTACCTTGGCAGCAAGATCAGCAAAACGGGAGGCACAGAGGAGGACATACGTGCTAAAATTATTAGAGCCCGCTGCGCTTTCACAGTTCTGCGACCCATATGGAAAAGTTCTGCCATCTCCATTACCACAAAAATTAGGATATTTAACTCTACTGCTGTATGGAGCAGGGACATGGAGAGTCTCCAAAGCAAGCACAGCAAAGATACAGACCTTTATGAACAGATGCCTTAGATATTGAAACTGATATGGCAGAACAAAGTGCCGAACATTGAACTATGGATGAAAGCTAGACAGGAGCCTATGGGTGTGCAAATAAGAAGGAGGAAGTGGCGCTGGGTGGGTCACACGCTTCGAAAGGTTCACCCAAATGTTACACGCCAAGCGCTTGAGTGGAACCCCCAGGGAAAGCGGAAGAGAGGGCGCCCAAGACAGACCTGGAGGCGGAGTCTTCTTGAAGAACTGAAGCCAACAGAGATGTCTTGGGAGATGTCAAAATTAATAGCCGGGGATCGGATGAAATGGAAGGAAATGGTGGAGGCCCTATGTTCCATAAGGCGCAGAGAGAACTAAGTCAAATAAGTCTAGTAACACAGGTTTAAATATCCTTGCTAGTAACACGTGAGTAAATAGACTTGCTAGATACACAGGAATAAATGGATATCCTAGTAACACAGGTATAAATAGACTTGCTAGTTACACAGGTATAAATAGACTTGCTAGATACACAGGAATAAATGGATACCCTAGTAACACAGGTATAAATAGACTTGCTAGTAACATGTGAATAAATAGACTTGCTAGTAACAAATTAATAAATAGACTTGCTAGTAAGATAGGAATAAATGGATACCCTAGAATCACGTGAATAAATAGACTTGCTAGTAAGAAATTAATAAATAGACTTGCTAGTAACACAGGTATAAATAGACTTGCTAGTAACACAGGTATAAATAGACTTGCTAGTAACAAATTAATAAATAGACTTGTTAGTAACACAGGAATAAATGGACACCCTCGTAACACATAAATAAAACAGAGGAACATGTTGAATGAGAACCATGGTTGAAGCTTTACACAAGATTATATCAACACAATTATACAAACCTTATAGTTGTAGTCTACTATACAGGCCTGCACTAAGATTATATCTACATTTATAGTATCTGTATGGCTCATGACGTACACTTAAATATGTTTATATCAACATTTTTTAAAACAAACTTTGTTGTTAAAAGATTTGAACTCCCCCATATAGGCTACACACAAAAAATGAATAAGTGACATTTCTTATAAACAACATGTATAATGCAAGCATGTACATACAATCACTGTAACCTCAGATTAGATACATATAACATATTTGTGATATATACATACATTTGGTTCAAATAAAATGTGCTTAAAGATGTTGGAGGTAGGGTTATTGAGAATGTGTTATATATCAATGATACATTTTTAAAGGCAATGGGAATATAAAACATGGAATGTCAAAAGGAGTCAGTCACAAAACAAACCAATGTAAAATTAACTGTGCTATACTCGACAGTCACCAAAGTTGAGGAATACTTTGTCGTTTGGTTAACCTCGATCGTGTGTTGTTCCAGGCGATTTGTCGGGGGGTATACCTAGCAATATGGCTGTGGTAGACTCCATAAAGTAAAGTATACATGACAGATTATAATAGTAGACGGTTGACAGGGTGGGGGTGTTGGAATACTCTCTACCTGACAGAGCAGCGAATGTACACAACACGCTGCCCTATGTCGCACACCCAAGTGTTCATTCAGAGAAAATATTGACACCACTGAGTCATCTGTCTGTCAAATTCATCTAAATGTTGCGTTTGTAGACTAACGTTTGAGGCCGATATCAAAGACACAATCTTCTTTCAATTTTATAGGTTTACAGTTAAGACACTCTACACCCAACCATTTCAGATTCTTAATCTAAGATACAGCTACAGCCCAACCTTTACATGCATATATCAAATGTGTATATCAAAGACGCAACCACAGACAACCTATACATGCATATATCAAAGGCACAACCACAGCCAACTTTTACATGCATATATCAAATGTGTATATCAAAGACCCAACCACAGATAACCTATATATGCATATATCAAAGACATAATCACAGCCAACCTTTAAAAGTGTATATCAAAAACCCACTTAACATCCACCTTTTACTGACCTAGTTACAGCCTAGAGCGTCAAGCCAATCCCCGCAGGTTATGCTATATCACAGACACAATCCCAGCATTCCCTGACCTATCTAATCACTATCTGGCGTTAATCGATCATTAATTTTCCTGCTCAAATCGATCTCGTGGTATTGAATCGGGGAGTTTGGGGGTTCCATTTCCTCGGGGTCTACGTCACTGTCCACCATATGTTCTCGGGGGTCCCTCAGGGGGAACTCGACCCTGCGGGGGCCGACATTGTTCTGGTCCCGGTCAAATATCAGGTAGGTGGTTGTCGGGAGTTCCAGGGGCGGAAGCTTGACCAGCTGGGCCCCTCCGTGCGAATACCTCGACGATTCGGCGGCTGTTTCCGCTTCATTGTCGCTAGACCTGTTGTTGGTTGATAAAAAACGTTCGGAAGTTTCCACAAGGCCGTTGTGTTTGGAGGTGTGGGGTGCTTTGATTGTCAGCTCGTCACAGGTGGCGCTTTGTGTGGGGTCCGTCTGGTCTGGGTTGCCCAGCTTCTCGTGGACAACCCTCTTCAGGTGCAGCGCTGAGCCGGCCGGGTCCGACTCGTCGAATGCGCATGCGTGCTTGAAGCTGTTGACCAGCGTGTAAACTAGGTCAATCTCCGAGGAGACCTGGGAGTGTTTCCTCCGTTTCCTCTCGCTGCCAGACAATTTGTCGCTGCCAGACATTCTGTCGCTGCCAGACATTTTGTCGTTGGCCGAGCTGGGCCGTGACTTGATGCTCAGCGGCTCCAGTTTGTCTCTCTGACCAATGCTATTTTTAGTAACGGTGCTGCTAGACGGACGGAGAGTCTCTCGGTGGTTGTCCATGTAGTCTTTGAGCGACTGGAACCCGTTGCTTTTTCTCAGGATGATATCCGGCAACTTGTCCGTCTTGGTGTGCTTGTGGTACCGGACGTACACGATTGGTATGTTCAGCTCGAGGGCGACACACAGCTCGTTGAAGCAGGCGGTGTCCTCCATCGTGGCTTCGTTGAACAGGTACACGCAGACGTCAGTGTCCGCCATTTTGTCTCTGATCGAGGTACCTAGAGACGGGAGACCGGTGTGCCCGTGTCTGTTTTGGCGCGTGTAGAACTCTTCAAGCAGGATGCGCAGGACGCCGTCGTGTAGGAGTCTGTCCACGTCGGCTGAGCCAGCCTGGCAGTGGCTGATGAGGTGGACCCTCGGCGTCTTGTCGTCGGCTACCATGGGCGCCACACCCGTGACTGTCGTGGAAGGTCCAGGTTCTGTCACGTTAGAAGGACCTGTACGTTGTAAGAAAGAGAATTAAAATAAGAAAGGCACAGGGAACAAACGTCAATAAACATGCACATTTTATCGCACCATCCTAAATAAACTTACAATACATGGAATAATTCAACGACGGACGAAAAAAACTCATCAAATTATTTTTCCCTTTGGTTTCACTAACTTATCCTAACATAAACACCAACACTGGCCTCAATCTTAACCCATAAAGCACCAATATTGAAATTTTCGCTACACTACTGAACAAATTCACACGACCATTCTCTGTTGCCTTTTCGCAACCGATGCACAAAAGTTACGTTTTTAATACACCGTATTGTAAGCGTGGAATAGAGATAAAAGCCACGAAACAAACCTTGACTCCGTGTTTTGACGCCGTACCGTTTGGTGTCCCTGATGTTCCTGCTGATACTTTTACTGGTCAGCATAGTCCCGGCGTCTGGAATCGCGGCCTGTCCCATCAGCGGTTCCAGAAACTCCCAGAACGCGTCCATCGACTCGTCTTTGATGAGGTTGGGGTAGATCTGCACCAGCTGAACACACTGGCTTATGACGTCTTGCTGGGTTCGGATCCACTGGAGGGCGCTCTGGTAGCTGTAGAACGTGGGGCTGGTCAGGGGGTTGCGACATGGCCGCAGGGCGTGGGGCAGACGCCGCTGACGTCGATTGGAAGGTGACGACATGTCAAGGGGTCATGACGTCACACATTCCTCACAAATATTTGTTTCCTTAAAGAACTCAGTGTTTGAGGTTTTTCTGAAAACTAAACCGATGAAAACAACACAGAAGCCAACAACGTGTTTCTGGCAGGCTTGTTGTGGTACACGCTCCGGTGTGTAGTGTGTATGGCCCCAATCTTAGTGTGTTGTTATCTCCTGTGCTGCCAACATCTCTAATGAAGATAATGATACACTCGTCGCTATCTTAGCCAGTAGTGGGCTACTCTTAAGGCTTGGGTAATAGTGACTGTCTATCTGCAAACATACAACTTTGTTAGGAGTAACATAAATATGTACAGTTATTTTAGTTGCAACTTTTGTTGCTTTTGGAGTATTAAGCTAAATAAATATACAAGGCTATTTTAGATGAAACATTAGTTGTTAAATTGAGAAGATACATTAGGTGTATTCGCAATACTGCTAGTCTTATAACTGCTCGACTAGCTTTTATTTTTGTCAATATAAAAAGCGCATTCAATCCATTACTTGGTTGATACTTTGAAAAAAAGGCTCTTGTTTTAAAAATGTTGGAACATGGGTAAACAGTCAAACAAACTCTAGTTTTTGCTTTTATGCATTTGTTATAGTATAGGAATTCAATTTTTAAAACTTGTAAAAAATGCGAAGAAAGATATCTGCTGTGTGTCACGGAACGTATTTAAACACAACATAGAACAAGAATCGCAGTTGGACAAATATCCAGCAACCAGCGTGTAACACATAGCCTGTGCTGTAGGAATGTGTCAATGTCGACATTTCTCGTACCAGAAAGTTTTTGAAAAGTCGGAAACAAAAGCCCCACACTGGTTAGCGTATGTGACGGGCTGACTGAGAGAAGGTATCGGGTTCTCTCGGGCGGCTGTTACGGCTTTTAGCGTCGTGGCTCGGTACTTAGACGGTACTTGTCGAGTCAAGGGTCCAAGTGGATTCACGAGCCTTAGGCATCAAGTCTCAAGATAACATAGGGCATCAAGTCACAAGATAACATAGGGCATCAAGTCACAAGATAACATAGGGCATCAAGTCACAAGATAACATAGGGCATCAAGTCACAAGATAACATAGGGCATTGTATCACACATGACGGCCGGACATCGTATCACACATGACGGCCGGTCATTGTATCACACATAAAGGCCGGACATTGTATCACACATAACGGCCGGACATTGTATCACACATAACGGCCGGACATTGTATCACACATAACGATCGGACATTGTATCACACATAACGGCCGGACATTGTATCACACATAACGGCCGGACATTGTATCACACATAACGGCCGGACATTGTATCACACATAACGGCCGGACATTGTATCACACATAAAGGCCGGACATTGTATCACACATAACGGCCGGACATTGTATCACACATAACGGCCGGACATTGTATCACACATAACGGCCGGACATTGTATCACACATAACGGCCGGACATTGTATCACACATAACGGCCGGACATTGTATCACACATAAAGGCCGGACATTGTATCACACATAACGGCCGGACATTGTATCACACATAAAGGCCGGACATTGTATCACACATAACGGCCGGACATTGTATCACACATAACGGCCGGACATTGTATCACACATAACGGCCGGACATTATATCACACATAAAGGCCGAAACCCCTGTATAACCCCAGTTTTGAAGACGTCAATGACGTCTATGACAGGCCACATCTCTGACCTCACCAGCTGTTGGCTAGGTGCTAGATCAACGCGTGACTCAAACTACGAGTCAGTGTACTAAACACCGACTCGATACAACAGTCAGGGCATTAAGAACCGACTCTTGACTCAAGAATCAGGGCATGAGGAACTGACTCTTGACTAAAGAGTCAGGGAGTTAACAACCGACTCTTGACTAAAGAGTCAGGGAGTTAACAAATGTTTAGAGTCAAGAGTCGGTTGTTGATTCCCTGACTCTTGACTAAAGAGTCAGGGAATCAACAACCGACTCTTGACTAAAGAGTCAGGGAATCAACAACCGACTTTTGACTAAAGAGTCAGGGAATCAACAACCGACTCTTGACTCCAAACATGGCCCAATCAGCCTGTCAGTAACTCCTGACCTTATTGATTGCACGCGCAGAGTTTGACGTCAACCGTTTTTATCGCCTCCAATCGCAAGCGGTTAATCGCACAACGTTGATCATACGGTTATGAATGAATGGGACTGAGAACACAATCTGACGCGCTTCACTGCGTTTAATTGAAAATAAATTCTCCTTGTTACACTTCCAAGATTTCAAATTTCGAATACAAGATATATTTAAATGGATCGAGTCTGAAAGAAAGAAATTAGCATTTGAATCAAGTTGAGCTGGTAGACTATAGATTTTTTTAAATTAGCTGTGTGGTATTTGTGCTAGACGTAGATGAGATAGGTCCTAGCTGTGGGTATTATAAGCTGGTTGTGTGCTGTCAGAGTTACTTCCCTGGAGTAAGGGAGCGAACTCGCTCAACGTCACCTTATAAAAAGGGAAGAGAACAATAAATAAAAATGCAATGAAACAATTATTGAAGAAGTGTGATAGTCCTGGGGGGAAAACCCATCAATTTAACGTAATTGTCAAACGCTGACTTGGTCATAACTGAATATAATAACTGAGCAAAAGCTGACTTCCTCCTACACTGCCTCTGAAAAAGAAGACACACCTGGCACACACATCTGTCCTAACACACTACACGGCTTTTCAACGGTTCTTCATTAAGAAACATGGTTTCCTCTAAAAGATATTATTCCCCAAAACACTTTTCTTAGTACCAATTTCCCAAAAACACTTATCTTAGTACCAAATTCCCACAAAAAAACACTTTTCTTAGTACAAAATTCCAACAAAAAAAAACTTTTCTTAGTACCGAATTCCCAAAAACACTTTTCTTAGTACCAAATGGATTTGTTCTTAATAAACGATAGAATGGAGTGCCTAAACTGTTACGTACTGTGAAGTGGGTTGGGGGGGAGGACTTTGAAAATGTTATACTCATATATTACAACATGAGGTAATGACGTAAGGTGCGCTAATATGTCGTATGTATGTATTATATAATTAGTGCACTTTACTAGTAAAAATAAATCAGCTGTGATACTGAACTGTCTGTTAAGAATTACCTGTTCTAATTTCATCATATAGATCAATAGCCTCCCCCCCTCACCACGTATACTAAAGCAAAGTCGGAAATGTTATCTATAATATAATCGGGCTGAGCGTGTCCTTCCGTCCGTCATCGCTATAGATTTTGGGACTATAAAAGTAAACTACGCACCATGCTGTGCTTTTCAGTGCACCGCAGTGTCTTATTATAGGTACTGGAGTAGGGTTTGTTTATATAGAGGCATAAAGATATTTTATAAATGCCACGGTGTTTACTCTTTTGCATAACTTAAATAAAATATTAAATACACGCACATAGCTAAAACATATTTAAAAAATCAACGTTAAATTTCATTTTCGTTAATATTCCTAGAAAAAATGGATATATTTTTATGAAAGTAGGTCAAAGAAACTAATTAATTCAACTTTTTTTTTGGTAATTTTTTGCAAGGGAGGTAATTTGAAAATATATTTAACTCATCAATATCATTCTAAGTTAATTTTTTGTTTATTACTACCGCATTGATTATTATATGTTAAGGTTCATAATTAAAAGAGAAAAATGTTAAGATTATTAATATTATTTATTATTATTTTCTAATTAGTCTATGATTTCTCAAAAAATCACTATCTTTTTGCTTTTGTTTTTCGGTGTTATGAAAACAGATGGTGAAATTAGACTTTTTGAGAAGAATGGAAAGGCTCTCTCTGAGCGCGGACGTCTGGGAAAATGTGTTTTATTTTTTAATATTCAACTCACTCTTAATAATTTAAGTTAATTTTTGTTATTACTTCCACATTGATTATTATATGTTAAGGTTCATAAGTAAAATAGAAAAATGTTATGGTTATTTATATTATTTTCTAATTAGTCTATGATCTCTCAAAATAACAAAAAAAAGAAAAGAGAAAAAAAATAAAAGAAAAATAAATCATTTTAGGATTATAGTATAGAGAATGCTGAACAGGCTCTTCTGGGCGTGGACGCCTGGAAAAAGCATGTTTTTCGGTGGTGATTCTAATTACATTACCAATGTGTTTTCTTAGAACCATAAAAGTAACGCCCACTTGCCGTACATTTATTTGCATCGCATTGTTTTATTGTAAGTTATGGAGTAGGATCTATTTATGTGACTTAAATTAAGGCTCTCTTTGGGCGCGGACGCCTAAAAAAGCGTGTTGTTTGGTGGTGATTCTAATGTTGTGGCTGTGGTTGTGTTGTGGTTGTGTTGTAGTTGTGTTGTGTTTGTGTTGTGGTTGCGTTGTGGTTGCGTTGTTGTTGTGTTGTGTTGTGGTTGTGTTGTGGTTGTGTTGTGGTTGTGTTGTGGTTGCGTTGTTGTTGTGTTGTGTTGTGGTTGCATTGTGGTTGTGTTGTTGTGTTGTGTTGTGTTTGTGTTGTGGTTGTGTTGTGTTTTGTTTGTATTGTGGTTGTGTTGTGGTTGCGTTGTGGTTGTGTTGTTGTGTTGTGTTGTGGTTGTGTTGTGGTTGTGTTGTGGTTGTGTTGTGGTTGTGTTTTGTTTGTGTTTATGTTTGTGTTGTGTTTTTGTTCGTTTTGTTCTGTTCCAAAAATGTACATTTAAAAAGATTTACCGTGGCGGAGCACGGGATGCAGCTAGTCTATAATATAAGCGGGCTGAGCGTGTCCTTCCTTCCTTCCGTCCGTCATCGCTATAGCTTTTGGAACGATAAAAGTAATCATTCGCACCATGCTGTGCTTTTCAGTGCACCGCAGTGTCTTGTTATAAGTAATAGAGTAGGATTCGTTTATATAACGGCATAGAGCTATTTTATAAATGCCACTGTGTTTATTTTTTTGCATAACGTTATGAAAATATTAAATATTTGCACATTGCTAAAACATATTAAAAAGATCAATGTCAAATATCAGTTTAGTTTGTATTCCTAGAAAAAATGGATACATTTCCATAAAAGTAGGTCGAAAAAGCTAATTAATTCCACTTTTTTTGTGGTAATTGTTTCAAGGGAGGTAATTTGAAAATATATTTAACTCAACAATAATTTAAGTTAATCTTTTTTTTATTACTACCGCATTGATTAGTCTATGTTAAGGTTCATAATTAAAAGAGAAAAATGTTAAGATTATTTATATTATTTTCTAATTAGTCTATGATTTCTCAAAATCACTATTTTTTGTTTTTGTTTTTTGGTGCTAACAGATGGTGAAATTTTATAATTATAATATAGAGAATGGTGGAAAGACTCTCTCTGGGCGCGGACGCCTGGGAAAAGCGTGATTTTCGGTGGTAATTCTAATTACATTGCCAATGTCTTTTCTTAGAACCATAAAAGTAAACACCACTTGCCGTACATTCATTTGCATCGCATTGTTTTATTGTAAGTTATGAAGTAGGATCTATTTATGTGACTTAAATTTTTAATGTTGGAAAGGCTCTCTTTGGGCGCGGACGACTAAAAAAAAACCGGTTTGGTGGTGATTCTAATGTTGTGGTTGTGTTGTTTTTTTTTTTGGTTGTGTTGTGGTTGTGTTGTGGTTGTATTGTGGTTGTTTTTTGGTTGTGTTGTGGTTGTGTTGTGGCTGTGTTGTGGTTGTGTTTTTGTTGTGGTTGTGTTTTTGTTGTGGTTGTGTTGTAGTTGTGTTGTGTTGTGTTGTGTTTGTGTTGTGGTTGTGTTGTGGTTGTGTTGTGGTTGTGTTGTGGTTGTGTTGTGTTTGTGGTTGTGTTTTTTGTGTTTGTGTTGTTTTTGTTTGTTTTGTTCTGTTCCAAAGTTGGTACATTTAAAAAAGATTTACCGTGGCGGAGCACGGGATGCAGCTAGTTACAAATAACCTTTTAAACAGTTGATTATTTACAACTTGCACACTGGCTATACCATAGGTTCATTAGGATAAACTGATTCACTGAAGTGAACTAAATAAAAAAAATATTTGTAAACTTAGGTTGTTGTTTTTTTGTTTTTTTTTTCTGACTAGACCTAACTTAATGAAAACACTGCGAGTCAAAAACAGTTTATGTAAGAATGTTAAATTAGGATCCATTTCTACTGTACAATCACTGCCTTATGTTAATGAATGAAACCAGTACAGTAGAAAGTCTCTAGGTACTAGAAAAATGTGAACTCACCTGCGCGCGAGAGACAGGTGTAAAATGTGTTGACCTGTTTGAGAATGCCAGCACACGTGTCCAGCGGTCTGGTGGGGCGGCAGCAGTGACGACACTCGGCGAGTGGCGCTTCGATTGTTGACCCGCTTTCATGTGGCAGTCACCGCGGTATCAAATCAATAACTGCCCATACAAATCATTCGGCGTTGACAACGTTACACCGAGGGGTTGCTTCAGCTGGCACTTCTTTAATTAACATTATGCCATGCAACTCTCTCCACTCTGTGGGGGGGAGGGGGGGAGGGGGGTATTTAAAACATATTTGTAGCGGCGTGAAGGGTGAATGGCAACAGGCAGTTTACAAATCTAACTAGAAGAAAAAAACTATACAATGCCAACATCTGACTATATTCTCAAATCGTTGTTTCTCTTCTCTTGTCTGGGTTTTTTTAAAGAAATATTTTTTAAGATTTGTGATGTACTGTGGTAAGGGAATCTAGTCATACACAAGCAAATTATAGAGCTTAGTTACATTGAGATAGTAATAGCAACCTTAGTTTCTGTACTTGTACATACTTATCGCCCCCTCCTTCTCGAACTTCGGGACCAGAAATCCTCAGGGCAGCTATGGAGCCAAGAACACATTTTTGTCTATTTAGTTAGTGTCGCATTTGTTACTTTTTTTAGTGATCCCTTTTTTGTCAACTGACCAGTATCCACTTGGTATTTCATAAAAACTGGTCCAGGGATTTTAATGAGATCGTGAAGCAGGCCTGCATAGCTCGTCGCTGTTGAAAGCAAAGCAATTTTTCAATTTGGCGTAAATGGAATGTGCTAGTCTCGCATGATTATCCCCCCCCCCCCCCACGCCCTTTACTATACATACACATTCACACACACAGATACTCTCGCACATATGCATACGCAAATAAAAAAAACGAGAAATTGATTTTAAAATCCCAACAAAGAACTAACATATAACCTAAAATTAAACCCGAATAAAATAGATTGGATTCAAAAGTAGGCTGCACGCTTGGTCGCCCCATAAAAATCAGTTCTTTCAATCCAATCAAAGACACGTAGATCTAGTTTCGTCAACAAGAAGGTGTTCGAATCTGACACGACAGTAGAAGTGAATCGGGTCAAAGGTTGTCGCACTTGTTGCCAACTATTCTAGACCTTATATATGGCCTATATGTATGTATATATATATATATATATATATATATATATATATATATATATATATATATATATATATATATATATATATATATATATATATATATATATATATATATAAGGTCTAAAATAGTTGTGTGATATGTGTGAAAATGTAACGTAATATGTGTGGTAGAGGTCTGTGAAAATGTTATGTAATATGTGAGAAGGTGGTCTATAAAAATGTTATGTAATATGTGAGATGGTGGTCTATAAAAATGTTATGTAATATGTGAAGTGGTGGTCTATAAAAATGTTATGTAATATGTGAGGTGGTTGCGTGTGAAAATGTTATGTAATATGTGCGGTGGAGGTCTGTGAAAATGTTATGTAATATGTGAGGTGGTGGTCTATACAAATGTTATGTAATATGTCAGGTGGTGGTGTGTGAAAATGTTATGTAATATGTGAGATAGTAGTCTATTAAAAAATGTTATGTAATATGTCAGTCGGTGGTCTGTAAAAATGTTATGTAATATGTGAGGTGGTGGTCTAAAAAATGTTATGTAATACGTGAGGTGGTGGTCTATAAAAATGTTCTGTAATATGTGAGTGGTGCTCTATAAAAAATGTTATGTAATGTGTGAGGTGGTGGTCTAAAAAAAGTTATGTAATATGTCAGGTGGTGGTTTGTGAAAATGTTATGTAATATATCTAAAAAAAGTTATGTAATATGTGAGATGGTAGTCTATTAAAAATGTTATGTAATATGTCAGTCGGTGGTCTAAAAAAAGTTATGTAATATGTGAGATGGTAGTCTATTAAAAATGTTATGTAATATGTGAGATGGTGGTCTGAGAAAATGTTATGTAATATATGAGGTGGTGGTCTGAGAAAATGTTATGTGATATGTGAGGTGGTGGTCTATAAAAATGTTATGTGATATGTGAGGTGGTGGTGTGTTAGACGAATATATAACGTTGTTTGTGATTAGAAATGTGTAAAAATTTCACATGTTTGTGTTATATAACATTTCCTCGATCAATATTCCTAACCCAGGGGTCGGCAACCTTTTGAGACCGAAGAGCCAAAAGTTACAGTTTACAACATTACCCGGTTTTTAAAGAGCCACAAACATTTTATGTCAATAGTATATTTGTTTAGTATATATATAATCCTAAACAAATATCATACTATATATATATATATATATATATATATATATATATATATATATAATTTAAAATAAATAGCTTTGAATATATGAGATACTCTCATTTGAATTTGTGTTGAGAGGATCTACTATGTAAGTCAGAGTGTTTGTTTTGAACAGCTCAAATCTCTCATTGAAAACAACCTTCATTTTGTTTATATTAATGCTGAAGTGATTGAATAGAAGCATTGGTATCATAACGATATTTTTTTTCAGATTTTTCGTAATTAAGTAATTTACCGCTCATCATGTATTCAACAAAAAAAATATTTGTTCTCGAAACAAACCATCTTTTCAAGCAAGACATAGGCTAGATTTTCCATTCAGTTTTACACTTAGCTTGTTTGGTTTCTTTGTGATATCCACCAGTGGCGTAGCCAGGATCGTCTCAAGGGGGGGGTTCCAATTTTTACCCGGGGACAAACTTTCGATTTGCACCCCCCCCCCCCCTCAAACTTTCGATTTGCACCCCCCCCTCAAACTTTCGATTTGCACCCCCCCCCCCTCAAACTTTCGATTTGCACCCCCCCCCCCTCAAACTTTCGATTTGCACCCCCCCCTCATACTTTTTATATATACCGAGGGGTCTATGGGGGGGGGGTTATGACCCCCCCTAACCCCCCCCCTGCCTACGCCACTGATATCCACTATGAAGATGAATGTTTCAATTTGGAATGGACAATGTAATAGGAACTACACTGAGATAGGGAGTAACTAAATATTCTAATTGAATAGTGAATGTTTTTTGTTTATACCTATTGTTATACCTTTTATTACCGAGTGTTGCAAACTAATAATTCTATGAGTTTTGGAAATAAAATAAAATAATTATTAATATATTGTGCATGGAGCTGAAGAGCCGCAACTGGACATCAAAAGAGCCGCATGCGGCTCGCGAGCCGAAGGTTGCCGACCCCTGTCCTAACCTTATGGATCATGATTTGTTCCGGTGCAGTAGCTAAATATACCCAAATTCTTAGATTAAAGATTCGCATTATTACAAGTAACTGTAGCCAGCAGAAACACTTTAATAAAGATTCGCAATATTGTAAACAGCTATAGCTATGTCAGAAATACTGTAATAAAACAGCGAGAGGTTTCATGAACGTGAAATGTAATATAGAAGGCAGCCGTCTCTACTTGGGCTGGAACACAATGTGGAGCCATGAAAGCCCGGGGTCGAGGAATTCTTGCCGTATGACTGGCGCCTCTTGAAGTAAAACAATTGGTGTTTTATTCAACCAGCGCTACCGTAGCTGGGTGTACGGAGCAGGAATGTAAACCACATTTTATTACATTCGATCGCCCTACGGTAATTCATTTGATCGCCAGCCAACAGCTCAATATACTTCAACTTAATGCACTGAGTTTTTGATGTAGTTTTTTCTAACATAAAGTAAAATAGGAAATCTGTGTTTTCCCATCTGAATTATCTCCCCTTGAGCTTAGATTTTTAAGCACATTTAACTACATTTAAAGACAAAGTGTAAATTTATTGAATTTCCTTCTATCAATCTCAAGGATCAAATTTGGTCTAATTCGGGAAATAAAGAGGGATTTAAAGGGATTTTTTTTGGGATCGATTATTTAATCCAGTGAAGATTACCCATTTAATGACTTTATCTCGAGCTGGTTTTTTTTTAAATAACAATCTCGTTTTTCATCTTTTCACATTGTGACTAAATATATTCTTTACACGCTGTGACAAAACATATTTATTACACACAATGATCAAATATATTCTTTACACACAATGAACATATATATTCTTTACACACAATGATCAAATATATTCTTTACACACAATGATCAAATATATTCTTTACAAACAGTGATCAAATATATTCTTTACACACAATGATCAAATATATTCTTTACACACAATGAACATATATATTCTTTACACACAATGATCAAATATATTCTTTACACACAATGATCAAATATATTCTTTACAAACAGTGATCAAATATATTCTTTACACACAGTGATCAATTATATTCTTTACACACAATAATCAAATATATTCTTTACACACAGTGAACAAATATATTCTTTACAAACAGTGAACAAATATATTCTTTACACACAGTGAACAAATATATTCTTTACACACAGTGAACAAAACATTTATTACACACATTGACTATATCGTATTTACACAAAGTAACTTTACAGTCTGTACACAAAAGCTTTATAAAAATATAATATTAGAAATGATAAAATTGCTAGTTATAAATAGTGGATGCTGCCACCAAGGCAATACGGGCAGCTTTAACTTAGTTTAAGTTGCCAAATTGCCTTAATACATCAGGCAGCAGTGAGCTGATCTCATAGTGGCAACCGGACATAAACATACTGCGAGAATAGAAGATGAAACATAGAATCGCGTGTTTAACGTCCCTAGCGCTTGAAATCTACATAGAAAATCAATAGCTGTCTCTGTGTGTGCATTGTACTGGCGCTGGTTCAAGATGTAGATGGCTGTAGTGGTAGATGTGGTGGTTGGCATTGGGGATTGGTGGTTGGCATTGAGGATTGGTGGTTGGCATTGGGGTTTGGTGGTTGGCATTGGGGATTGATGGTTGATAATGTGAACAGGTGGTAGGCATAGAGGATTGGTGGTTGGTATTGGGGATTGGTTGTTGGCATTGGGGATTGGTGGTTGGCATTGGGGATTGGTGGTTGGCATCGATGATGGTGGTTGATAATGTGAACAGGTGGTAGGCATAGGGGATTGGTGGTTGGCATTGAGGATTGGTGGTTGGCTTTTTGCGATTGTTGGTTGGCACTGGTCACAAATCACTGCTTGACTTGTTTAACCGTCAGGAGGTTGACTTAACTAACTAAACAAATGTTTCCTTCTGTAAAACTTTTTAAAAATAATAGTCTCTTGCGTTGTGCAATTTAGTTTTCTTTTAATTCGGTGAAATGCGAAACAAAGGCTAAAATTAAAGCTTCCGTTTAAAAAAAAATAATTATAATTATGTCGTCGTCACCCAACCCCCTCCCACTTCCCCTTCTTCAACATTCGCAAGGAAAGTCCGCCTCATCCTCCTAGGATAATACTACTAAACTAGGATTGTGAGAAATGGATTATCCCATAATAAAATAACAATGTAGATCTTGGTCTATATTGGATTGTCTTCCCTCACTTTAAAATAATTAATTTTTGTTAAAATTGATTTTTTGTTTATGAAGGAAGTGCAAATGAATTAATTGAAGTTAACAAAGGATAGGTCCTTTGGGCGTCACTTGTTCGTGTTGTAATTGTTTGTTACCAAAACATTCTTCCTTATCCGTATTTTTAGTTCAGTTTCCTGGTGGAAACAAGATGGTCGACGTTGTGTTTATGTTGCCGACATGGCAAGCCTTTTTACTTTGCTTTTTCTTTGCAGTGCTTTACGTCGGTAGCTTATATATCTGGGGTGGATCAACGAAAGACAAAAACAGGTACCTCTTATAATTAAAAGTATTTAAACTTTTTATACTGGGTAGAAGAAATGAGTTGTTAAAATTAAAAACCTCAAGATAACCTATTATCGATAATTACAAAAATCCTCTCTCGAAGTCTATCCCTTTGAACAAATTAAAAGTAAATTAAATTAAAAGTATTATATTATCTCCTAGTTTAGATTAACTTCTCAGTAAAAATAATTAATTTTTAACCCCAAAATAGTTAATGCTGTGTACAAACACTTTAAAGTTTAAATTAACTGTAAAGTGTAAATTATGGCCGATGCTAGCCGGAAAAAGATGCGCAATGGAGAGAAACTATGACTTGCCATCGCGGCGATGTTTTCGATGGTACTGCGCATGCGTGTGTTTTCAACCGCAGAACCCTATCCCTAATCCTATCCCTAACCCAAATTCTATCCCAAACCCTAGCCCTAATCCTATCCCTAACCCTAATCCTCTCCCTAACCCTAATCCTATCCCTAACCCTAATTCTAACCCTAGCCATAGGTCATGGTGCATGCGCAGAGCTATCTTTTGCCGACTAAGTGGAGACGTTGGGGAGAAAAATCTTCTTCCGAGTAGTCACTTCGTTAAATTATACCAGCTATCACTAGTCCCCATTCAGTATCCTTTGGGAAATATTACTTTTACAGGCTACCTGGGCTAAGCTCAACTCACAATCATTTGACAGGGATGAAGTCTACTTACAATTCAATACATCAAATTATTGCAGCTTGACCTATTATAATTGTGTGATCCCAGTTCCAAATTTGGTACTATAGAGGATCGTGATGCAGAATTTTTGGGTGCTCTTTAAAACTAATGTAGGCTCCATAATGCTGATGGTGGAGCCGGGTGTTACAGATCATATGACCGATTCATTTTGAATATGACAAATTATAATCCAAAATTTATTATTTGACACATATTGTCAAACTTCTTGAAAACATCTATACATATGAAAATATTGAAAATATTCCTGCGTTTACATTAATACATACTGTTTGATTGTCTAATGTCTGGTAATTTTATGTAACTGCTGTACTTGCTTTAAAATAATTTACTTATTATGAACAGAGATCATCCTGATGTTATCAAAAGGAGGTTTATAAGTGTCACTGGAGTGTGTCTAACTGTGCCCATACTTCTTTGGACTGTGTCTAAAAATAGTGAGAAAGCTGAGGTAATTATGGCATACAATACATTAAACTACACCGGCCATTAAACAAAAAATTATATTGTTCACAATTTAGTTGTTGCGTTTGGATATTCATTGTTAATTCTAAATATGAATATTCTAAAATTTCTCTTACAGGCAAGCTGTTTATTTACATGGCTTGGTATTCGCTTTTGGGGTGCTATCCCTGCTTTAATTATTCCTCTGTTTTTAACAATGGTAAGTCATAATTAGGAAAACATGAGCGAGACAGTTTTCAAATTCAAATCAATTTTAATGTGATAATTTTTACTTCATTGCTAACAAGTAAAATATTTTATTTCCATAGGTTTTATTTTTGGGACCATTATCACTTCATTACCTTGATGGTGTATTTAGATTATACTTAGGTAAGTGGAATACAAAATGAAATGAAAAGAGTATTTTTGCTCTTTTCAATTATCTTTGATTCCTAACTTTTCTTTGTTGCAGTAATCATTTGAATACTTGTCAGCTTAGAGAGGGGGGAGGGTGTGATACAGAAGTGATTAAGTTGGCACCATCTTCCTGTCAAAATAATTTGTTTACTGGTGTTATTCTATCCATATTTATTAATTTTGATGGACACTATTTTTGTATGATAGAGCATTTAGTTTTCTTTTAACATAAAAATTTTTGGCTGGTAAAAACAATATTTTAGTGCTTCTTATATTGTTCTTTTTCTCCAATGTATGCTGCATAACAGACAAAATAAACTACAAGTGTATAACAAACACTAAACATGTTATACAACATGTAAGATCATTATTGTTGTACATTTTTTAAAGTAAAGCTAATCAAACTTTCTATTGTTGAAATGTGCACAAAACTTTCACTAGCAAACTGTTGTAGTAGATATAACACAACTGAATTATTTTCATTGATTCATTTTTGTAGAGGCCAAGTACTGGACTAATTCAGTGAAAAATTATGTGTGGATTCGTAATCACATAGTGGTGAGTTGCTGTTGTTTTTTTACTGCCTCTCATGTTAAATCTTTAGTATTTGTGCACAGTGACTTTCACATGACATGACCAGTTGTGAGTTTCTTGGCTTTCTGGGACTTAGGTCCAACTGATAGAATTCTTATTTTAAAGGGAAGTAACAGTTAAACTATGTTATTTACAGGCTCCCATCTCTGAGGAATTTATTTTTAGAGCTTGTATGTTACCAGTGCTAGTGCCTTGCCTTGGAACTGGATGGGCAATTTTCCTGTGTCCTTTGTTTTTTGGTGTAGGTAAGCAACAAAAATGACCAGATGTGCATTTGTGTGTGCTTTGTTTTTTAATTATAAAAGTATAGATAACTATGATGTCTGTGTTTTAATAATTTGCTAAGTTGTTTCATAACTAAAGATTTCACTATTTTTTCTCAGCCCATTTTCATCACATGATTGAGAAAGTTGCTCATGGCCAACAAGAAGTAGGTGATGCATTTAAAGAATCATGTAAGCTGTTTTCTTGGTTGGAATGGATTAGACTGTACACATTCATAATTATGTATTGGGCCACCTTATTGATGCAGAGTTAATCAGTGTATCCAGTAGAATTTTTGGGGCACCGAATGCAACCACACAACATACCTGTGTTTTCTGACACACCTGTTAATACACATCTCATTGTAGGTTTTATTTTCTTGCAGTGTTCCAGTTGTCCTACACAACAGTCTTTGGTGCCTATTCTGCTTTCCTGTTTTTAAGAACAGGTTAGTTATGTTTTATTTGTTACATTTGATTAATTTGTATTTTCTATGAATAGAGCTATTCACCAAAGTTTATTAGTCTTAAAATGTGAATGTTTTTTGTGTTTTCAGGTCATCTTGCAGCCCCAGTGATTGCCCATGCTTTCTGTAACCACATGGGGTTCCCCTCCTTTGGTGAGGTCATGGGTTACCCCCAGTCCACAAGGTACAAGCTGATGGCCCTGTTTGTTTTAGGCCTGATCTCCTGGCTGGGCCTGCTCTACCCCCTCACAACACCTGCCCTGTATTCCAATGATTTGTATGTGGTATGACCTGCCTATCTTGTTGCTCGGTGCTGAATTGAAAGTTGACATTCATCCAGTTGGTTTAGGTCACAGTCTGCTATTTATAACCCAATGTTGACCATGCTTTAGGTGCTGCAAAAGGTTGTAGCATCCCACTCTGTTTTTAAGATGACGATTCCCAACAAATTGCAAGGGTCCAAACAGTCCTGCCAAATAGTTTTGTTATTCTATTAGCATTTCTTTATTGTAGAACTGAATGGTTAACTACTTGAAAAATTCACTTCTTATTTGCATTTTTTTCCCATATGCTGTTACTAGGTATTTTCCTGAATTATGTTAATTAGTTATTGCTCCTTTTTTTTTATTTGCAACATACTGGTGATCAATTTAATTGCTTATTGTAACACATTTTAAAACTTATGAAAACCGATCTATAATACGGGTATCTAGTCTAAAACAAGTTACCGTCTAGTGGTTATAATATCATCATAGGTAAAACATTTTGGTTAAAATAAAATGTGTCCAATCCTTAAGACTTTTATTTAGGTAGTTAGGTTGGGTTTGTATTAAAGTTATTAATTTAGATTTAGTAGTTCTACAAGTCCCCTAATTTTAGTCCATGCCAGTTCCTAAAAAGGTGACAGCACAGCAGTGCATTTAATTTAGATTTTAGAAGTTAATTTTACTAGCAGTTTGGTTGTTGTGCATTTAATTGGATATTTCTGCTTGATTTATCATGTTTTAGTGACACATGTTATTTGTTGTATGCAGAGTTGTTCCAACAGCATTTATGTTAAGTCACCGCCAGCACAGGCCAGTTAGTGGCTGTAACCTGGGGTTCACTGACCTATGCCTCATCACTACTGGTCATGGCTGTAGCCATACCTTTTGTTATGAAGCTATTAATAGACTAGGGCCAAGCTGTGTTGAGTGATTACATCCATTGTGATGATTGTAGCTATGTTAGGGGTAGGGCGCAGGTGCAGGGTTTTGATTGCCCAGATACCATCTATGCAGTTGTCTTATACTTTATAGCATTATATCCATGTTGTAATCTCCTGTCCATCTTTAGATTCAAAATTCCCACCAGTGTTGCATAATGACTTAGCTGAGTATACACTAGAGCTGGCATTGTTTCTATGGCCATGTATTGGCTCTTTGCTTATTTGTGAAAGTCAAGATATAGCAGACCTGAGATGGTTTAAACTTTTGCTAGTCATTGGCTTCTTAGCCTGCTTTTGTTAGGTTGTTTCATTACAAAATGTAAATTTATTGTAATCTTATTTCTAATTTATTATATTGTTGTTTTTTAAATGACTTATTCAATTGTAAAACAACAAATGAATGTGTGGTTTTGTATTGCTCTAGCTCACTTTGAGTGTTTGATGCAAAATATGCTGTTTTAACTAGTTTTTTAAAAATAATCTACTTGTTATATGAAATAATGCATGTCAAATAAATCTATGCCAAGGCACATCTCTTTCAGTAAACTCGGCAGTGTTAAATTTTTTTTTTTTTATCATAAGCAGATTGTTAGTTATCTTACTAACAGTTTGTGATTTCAATAAAACGATCTGTGTTTATACATTTAACATACACATTATACTTGTATAAAAAAACATTTCTGCAATCTAATAACAGCATAATTTACCTAGAAACTTTGTTTCAATTTGTCTCACTTAGCTGTGAAGATGTTAATTATAAATATTGTGTGTAATATGATTCCAAGCTTGAATGACTGTTGACAAGCTCAATATAGTCTGTTATCTGGTGTACATATGTATGTTTAGATTAAATGACACAAGTCAAGCTGTGGCCAACTTTTCTCTGTGTCCACTTCCCACCTCTCTAATCATAAAACTATAACTGTTTGTGCTAGTCTTCAAATGAACAGATTGCAATACTTTTTTTTATAACTACATCATTACAGGAGTTTTTTCTTACACTAGTTCATATTCTTACACAGTATTTTTTTTTGTGAATATTTCTTTTTACACCTGTATCAACTTTTTAAAAATTCCATTTGTATTGATCAGTTCAATAAATTTCACTATGAAAGAAAATGTACATACATTAAATGTCTTAATGTGTCTTAAAAAGCATTGATTATTAGTTAAAACTTAAGATACACCGCATGAATGCATGTGTTGTTGATTTTACTCAGTTGACTTTTCTTAAAACCTGTCAACAAAAGTAGAAGTTGATCCTCGATAGCTTTATAAACTAGATATGAATTTTGGAAATTCAATAAAATTCATTTATTTACATGTTTTTTCATTTTTTTTTTAGTGTCATTTATCAACAAGCATTTTTATTGTTATAAGGTAAAGGGTTCATATATGACCATTCACAGACTTAATTAGCTTTAGATACAGATTTTGACCCTAAATAAGCTTGGTGAGTTGTATACTAATATCTAAAGTTGTGTTTGTTTTTAAATAAGAGACAAATTAAATTATAGTAGAAAAATAACATGATTTTAATTGGAATAATTTCAAGATGGTTGACATAAGATGTGTATAAATGTTCTTCCACTAATCAGCTGGCGGCTGGGAATCCTCTGTGTCACTCTCTGCTTCACACAGAGATCTCAATCTCTCCAGCATTAATGCTGCTACAACATTTAAATCAGGCTGGAAAAAATACAACATGAATATAGGTACTTCAGCGAAAAAAAAAAATTAAGACCAATATTTTGAATATGACAAATTAGTAACTAATTTAGGGTGTGCTTTGCAAGATAAAATGGTTACCCATGTATGATTGTGCTTAGATGATTTTACCTCTAAAATATGGAGTCCCTTTAAAGTTAATACTACGAGGTCAAGAACTCCATCCCCCATCACGTCATCAAAGGTCAGGGCCATGACTGGATCAGAGAATGGTTTTGTCCATGCCAGCCTACACACAAGTTTTAAATAATAACTTGGCTTAAGCTTACAACTCCATAAAAAAAGTTTAAACTTGCATTAAGATTCAAACTTGGCTAAGTAAAACCTTTCTCAGACTCACTTGTACTGAGGGTAGTCACTCATGTCTGGCAGAGAATTATTTGAAGCAGTAGGATCTGATGAGAGCTGGCTGTCTGGTGTGGTGAAACAAACTGACTTTGGTGACAGGATGGCCAGGTTTTCCTGGGACCTGAGGCAAAAACAAAAGGCTGAAGAAATTGTCACAAAATGGGATGCCTCTAGGACATCTCTTTACATGCAGGGTCAGAGCAACAGGATGGACTTTAACTCATGTGTACCATCTGGTTTGAAAAATGTTTTTGCCTTCACTAGTTACAATCAACTGATAACTTTCACCATTACAGTCGCCTATTGATATTTGTACCTGACCAGCCGAGCCATCTGTGCATCTTTTAGACTGGTATCAACAAGTGAACACTCATCAGCTCGATGCCACTCATGTTTGCTGTCCATGCCCTCCAAGGTAGCAGCCATTGATTTGTGTCTACGTCTTGTTTCAGATTTATCCTGAGGTCAACCCACACAAAAATTAAGGATTTAAATCAGATTTATCATAAAGTCAATCCACACAAATTTTAATCAGATGTATCCAAAAGTCAACCCACACAAAAAAAAACCCCACACACAAATCAGATTTATCCTTAAGTAAAGAGATAAGAGTTAATCTATTTAAATGAAATTTGTCTAAGATAACATAATTGATAAATTCATTTACCTGCTCCCCCGTGCTCCTGTCCTCACCTGGAGAGGAAAATGTCTCATTTACTGGGACAGGTAAGGGGGACTGAAAAGGTGTTGAAGTCATCAATGAAGCTGCAGGTTTTTCATAAATAAATTTATAGGCAAGAAGAACCTGCAACAAGAATAAATTATATGAGACTTCTTAATTTAGCTTTTTCTTAAATCCTTTTTTTTATAAACACACAAGTAGCTTCAGTCAATTTGTTGGCTTTTGCTGGCTTGGTGTTTGTAAATTAATAAAAGCATTCAGTCTGTAGAAATGTTGACTTACCTGGCCATATGTTCCCAATAGGATTTCATTTTCACCATCAAAGTCAATATCCACAACACAGGAGCAAAGAACCACATCATGGGAGTTGCTGAGAGGGAGGGTGTGGCTTTTGGACAGCCCAGAGTTGATAACATCACTACAAGGGCAAACAACAATTTTTCTTAGCATGACTAGAATGTACAGCACAAAGGCAAGACACACAATGTGGTTTACATCTTGATTTATCCTGTGTAATATTTTTTCAATATAAAAATAAAAAGCTGTTTGAACTTGACAAAATAAAAAGAGAGGACAGGTGTGGGTACTGACCAGAAGACCAGAGCTGGGTCAATGGCTGAGGTGACCAGTAGATTCACCTCTTCAGGTTTCACTTCCTCATCACCTGTGGCAGGATCTTCTACAGAAAGTCAACAGGTGAAAGAAAACAATGGAGTGTATCAAATCATTTTTTTTTTGTCAACAGGTGAAAGAAAACAATGGAGTGATTCAAATCCATTTTTTTGTCAGTCAGATGGAAAAAAACAATGGAGTGATTCAAATCCATTTTTTGTCAGTCAGATGGAAGAAAACAATGGAGTGATTCAAATCATTTTTTTGTCAGTCAGATGGAAAAAAACAATGGAGTGATTCAAATCCATTTTTTTGTCAGTCAGATGGAAAAAAACAATGGAGTGATTCAAATCATTTTTTTGTCAGTCAGATGGAAAAAAACAATGGAGTGATTCAAATCCATTTTTTTTGTCAGTCAGATGGAAGAAAACAATGGAGTGATTCAAATCCATTTTTTTGTCAGTCAGATGGAAAAAAACAATGGAGTGATTCAAATCCATTTTTTTTGTCAGTCAGATGGAAGAAAACAATGGAGTGATTCAAATCCATTTTTTTGTCAGTCAGATGGAAAAAAACAATGGAGTGATTCAAATCCATTTTTTTTGTCAACAGGTGAAAGAAAACAATGGAGTGACAATCAAATCCATTTTTTGTCAGTCAGGGTAAACTGTTGAGGAGAATATACCTAGGTGAATATAATTGTGTGTCTTCCTTTCTGTTTGTACTGACCTTGAATGTCTAGAAAGTTTGGACAAGGAGCATGAGCATGTTGTGTGAAGAAGTGTAAGCTTGTGATTGGGCTGTCCTGCTCTGTGACCCACATCTCAACAATCTCTGAAATTTTGGAATTCAATTTGTTATGCTGCGGAAGTTAGTCAACACTTTATTTGATATATGTGACAGTGGAGGATGATATATTCACTTCATGATTAGCCAGTTGTTTGGTGAAACAGCTGAAAGTATTGCTATGCTGCTAGGGCATACATTCTTCATGAGGTATTGTGATTTCTATGGTAATTTACCTATCTTTTACTGATTCAGAATGAAATGTATGATCTTAAGAATAAAAACTAATAGATCATTTGATGACCACCAGACAACAACTGACCAGTGGGAGGGGGGGGGGAGGTAACCTACCTCTAGAGACTACATTAACCAAGCTTAAAGTGACGAGGCCAGTCTGTGTACCCACAACAGTTAACCTGTGAGAGTCATTAATTGACCGAAGCTCCATCTGTGTAACACTGAAACAACAGTTCAGGTAATTACTGCTAGTTTTACTAAACTGATAAGCTAGAATTTCATTTATTAGTTTCAAATAAAGCACGTCTGTAAAAATATGGCATGGCAATTGTTTATACTTCAACATTTAAAAAAAGCTGTTATAACAAGTTATCCAGTGAATTTAAAGAATTTCTTTAAGGAAAACCTTTAAACCCCTGTCTTAGTATAAACACACATAAGTAAATAATGAATTGCAAATTTTCATAAAACTGTAAACCAAACAAAGACATTTAAAACTCCCTGTATATAAATTAATGTTCTATTTTTTTGTTCTTAATTGTCCCACAGGACGCTTTTCCTCAAACACAATTAAGTATGAAGTTCAACATGTTATACTCCCTATGGTCCATTGATTCTAATTTCAGCCTGCTTTTCTTTCTGGATTTGCTACAATAGCTTTTGTCTATCCGAAAACAAACTGCGAGGCAGCAGTTGTTTGATTTTGGAATTTTCTCTCATAGATGGGTTGCTGTCCCCAGCTAACAAGCCCCATCAGCACAGGACGAATTAAATAAATATAAAGATCAAAATAAACCTACCACCCTTCTATTTTAGCAAACTCAGGGAAGTACTCATTGGCATCAGACTCTTCATAAAATGATATGCAATCTCTTGACTGCAATGACAGCAGAAGAAACATTATTGACATTTTGACAAATCAAATATTAGTGCAAAAAACGAGCTATTTAAAGTAAACACAAACACTACCTGTCTATACATATGAACCTTGTTGTCACTGCCACTAAGTAAAAGACAAGTTTCCCCTGAGTCGTCTGATGTGTAGATTCTTTGTGAAAAAAGAAAACAATTAACATTGGGATCCAACATTTTAACAAAATGGTGTTAAAATAGTTATAGGGACTGGAAGAATTTAAATGTATCATATTGTCCAATGAATAGTTTCTTGGTCATCTTTAAACAACAGAACCAAAGTTTCTCATTCAATTTTCTTTCTTTCCCTCAACCTACTGGTGATTTATAAGCTTGAATGGAATGAAATCTAGACCCAACTGTTGGACATGTGATTCTGAAACAGAAGAATTCAAATATAATATGCTTCTGTACAATGTCTAAAGAAGCAAAGCAAAGTGTATTAAAATCTTATGAAAACCACAGAATTGAATGAAAGTAGCTCGAGTGGAAAAGTATTTATACATCAAAGTATATACTGTCAAATTCGTGTCAAAGTTTTAAAAAATTGTATTTTGCTTACGGTTTATTGCATCACTGATATTTGGATATATTGAGTTTGAGTCTTTGTCAGGCATAAAATAAATATTTAGATATGCACTTGGGGACTTTTCTTCATAAGATGCTTCTAACTGAAAAGATAAGAAAACTTGTCATTCTCACATTCTCAAAATAAAATGTGGTCATAAAAAATGTCCATAAACTATGTGCACAATTAAATTTGACTACAAATATATAAAACACAAAATGCTAGTTACTAGTTACAATGAGTAAGAAATATGACCTTAAGTTGATAGGTTAACAGCTGTTGATTACACCATTGGTGACTTATCATGACTGTGATTATGCAAAGTTAGGCTAGTTAATTTTAATATGTAATGAGATGTAACTTAATGTAACAAGCCCTCCAGCTGGCTAAGACTTGCCCTGGGATTTTGTTTTGTTAGGGATTCAAAAGATTCAAAATATTCTAATCGACTGCGGAATTTTTTAACAATTAAAAATTACTTGGACCCATACCTTTAGTATAGAAACTGCAAGAACAGTACCGGTTTTCAGAAAAGCATTAGAGATGACATCAACAGAAACTATTTCTACCTCTCCTGAAAAAAAAAAAACTTATTTTTAGAGCAATTAAATAGTATAGAAATGTGTAGGCCCACATCAATTTTATTAAACTTTGGGGGAAAAGAGATATTTTAACAATTTTAAATGTATTAATTATTAATGCTTCAAATGAGTTTTCCTGCATTTATCTAATATTTGAAAGCAAAACACAAAGGACAACATTTAAATTTACAAGATGTGAAAAATGTACCTGGTCCCGAAGGGCCAGTGTTGTGAAAAATATCTTCTTTAGTTATAGGTATCAATCTATTATCAAAAGATTTTTGATACTCTACAGTCACAAAGTGGCCATCAATTGATACAGCTAAAACTTTAGTCAGGCCATCTTGGGAACTAATTTTGGAAAGTCCATATATATTGGTTTGAGATCTCAATCCACAAAAGTGTGCACCAGTCCAATAAGATTGTTTTGTGGCCATTGAATAATTGGTTATTGTTTTAGACTATAAGTCATCAACTTGATATACTATTATACAGGTTTACACCAAGTTCATTTCTGCAAGAAAATATTAAGTAAACATTAGTCAAAGTAAATTAAAAGAGAAACTTAGCACTACATTTTTCATTTTTTTCACAGTGAGTATAATAATTTTTATAGTACAACGGGTACAGATTTATTTTGATAATTGAAGTTATCAAATTAATTAAAGGTAATCAAATGTATCTTTTAATAGTTAGTCTTCTTTTTAAGTCTTAAACTTTAGGCTTGATGATTAATAGATCTAGTTAATAATAATAAAGCTTAAATTAGTTTAAAATCACAGGCGACACATTTCCCGCCTTCTTTGATTAAAATATTTAATAAAAGTAAATAGTGGCTCTTTCTTTTAGGCTTATTTTGTTTGTTGTGATAACAGTTATTAGTTAACAAATCACAAAGTAAAATCAGTATTAACCAGCTGACTTAACTTTACTCATCATAAACTCACAAGTGGTACAAACTAAATTTGAGACTAAACTGATTTCAGCTGGAATGTGGTGAATGCCAGTGAATGGCAAGGCAGAGTATGCCAGAGGAATTTGTTTTGTTTTTTAATTTCATTTCTCTACACTCTAGATCTAGAATAATCTAGATATAGACTAAATCTAGAATAGATTAAGATTTCTTTACTTTCTAGATCCACTAGATTTTAGATTCTGAACTGATTTTTAATTTTAATTTTATTATATTTAATTTTAATTGTTAGGCCCCCTATTTAGTTTTTACTATTTACTATTTACTATTTATTAAAAGTAGGCCTATTTATTATTTATTTAATACTGTAGTCAGTTTATTTCTTCACTTTTAAATCTATATAGATTATTATAGATTCTCTAATTTAGATCTCTATATTTTTTCTAGATCTCTAGAATCTAGATTTAATTAACTTAACTCTAACTTTCGTTGTATGGACACCCCAAACTTTCACAACTGGAGTAGGACTACTACTATACTCTATTATTTAATATTGCGTTTCGTCTTTTTGTTTTTGTTGATATTAGTTTTTAGCTTTCCAAGAACCAAAACTCTTCCTTTTCAACTACAGGTAAACAAAAATGGAGTCGGCAGAGTCACCACACGCGCAAGAAGATGAACAATTTGTTCAACCAAAGACTAAATCAAGAAAAAGAAAAGAACCAGATATGGATACAAATGATATTTCAAACCCTTCTGCCAAAAGACCACATTTTAAACCTTTGAAAGCTGTTACTTCGACTGTATGTTATTTTATTTTTAGACCATTTTGTTACTTTGTAGCCCCAAAAAAAAATTTTTTTTTTTTTATTTTTTGCCAAGATCTAGAATTATCATTTAGAATAGAATCTAGATCTAGATCTATAGTAGATATACTCGCCAAATCTAACATTTACCCAAGTTTTCAATTTAAAAATGGGTAAAACTAGGTTGAATTATGGATTTTTTAAAATAAAATATTCTGTTATTTCAAATACACCATTAACTTCCTTACCCCTTAAGAGAACATTTGACACCTCATTTAAATATCTAGCTTACTCGGTTGACGAGAAAATAGAGAATTTGAAAATTAATCAAAAATGGAAGGACGATATTTCGAGTCGTCCCTTTGAATCCCGGACAGATCGTCCCCCCGGCGTGGCCTCAGCCAACCGGCGGGCTCGTTGCATTGAGTTAAATATAAACTCAAAACAATAATATAAACAATCTCCTTTTAGGTCGGTCAGGCCACATACCAGGCACGCACAGTGTTGTGTGTCGTGTCTTAACCAAAATAAACTATCTCCCTTCATTATCATTAGATATATTTAATTAGTTAATTAATTAATTAATTTGCTAATTTATAAAATTATGTATGATGCTATAGCAGTAGGTAAGTTACGGTAAGTATAATTTTTTAAACTATGTATTTGTACTATTAAAGAAACACCTTCGTTGTTGAATACCACCCCCTCCCCTTCTTGAACTCAAAGTTTAATTTTTAACCCCGTTCGTAGAGACATGCGGTATGTTGTAAGGCGGCGGGTGGGTAGGGTATATACTCATTGAAGAAAAAATCCACCGTGGTGCGTGTTATTGGCCTTGGGCCTTCGGTGACGTTGTTGGCGTTTGCTGTGAGGGGGAGAGGGGTGTGTTATATCAGTTTTAAAAAAATCGCAACGTGGTATTGGCCTATGATGACGTCGGCGCAAGCGGGGAGGGGGGGGGGAGACACTTTTTTTTTAAAACCAAGAACTAGGCGTTTAAAGGCTGTAATGAAAATCAAGGACTGGTATAGCCATGATGTCGAATTTAACGAGTGATGCTTGCTGGGTCTATCATACGATTGCTTGGCGATGGGAATCTCGCCAAGCTCAGTTTATATTTACAGTGAACTATTGGGATGCTGTCATACACAAAGTAACAGCTACCGAATGTAGCACTTAAAACATCGAGTGCATCCCGCTCATTATAAATTTGAAATACAAGTTATGGATTGCCCAAAAACTTGAAGGACTATCAGAATATATGCATTGTATTATAACATTAATCATTACGATATAACTAAAATGTGTATCCAAATATTTTTAGGCTAACAGAATCTGCATTTAAATAAACAAGACCTATTAGGCTACTTTTGCATGGTAGCACAACTACATTCTGTTATTTCAAATACACCATTAACTTCCTTACCCCTTAAGAGAACATTTGACACCTCATTTAAATATCTAGCTTACTCGGTTGACGAGAAAATAGAGAATTTGAAAATTAATCAAAAATGGAAGGACGATATTTCGAGTCGTCCCTTTGAATCCCGGACAGATCGTCCCCCCGGCGTGGCCTCAGCCAACCGGCGGGCTCGTTGCATTGAGTTAAATATAAACTCAAAACAATAATATAAACAATCTCCTTTTAGGTCGGTCAGGCCACATACCAGGCACGCACAGTGTTGTGTGTCGTGTCTTAACCAAAATAAACTATCTCCCTTCATTATCATTAGATATATTTAATTAGTTAATTAATTAATTAATTTGCTAATTTATAAAATTATGTATGATGCTATAGCAGTAGGTAAGTTACGGTAAGTATAATTTTTTAAACTATGTATTTGTACTATTAAAGAAACACCTTCGTTGTTGAATACCACCCCCTCCCCTTCTTGAACTCAAAGTTAAACTTTTAACCCCGTTCGTAGAGACATGCGGTATGTTGTAAGGCGGCGGGTGGGTAGGGTATATACTCATTGAAGAAAAAATCCACCGTGGTGCGTGTTATTGGCCTTGGGCCTTCGGTGACGTTGTTGGCGTTTGCTGTGAGGGGGAGAGGGGTGTGTTATATCAGTTTTAAAAAAATCGCAACGTGGTATTGGCCTATGATGACGTCGGCGCAAGCGGGGAGGGGGGGGGGGGAGACACTTTTTTTTTAAAACCAAGAACTAGGCGTTTAAAGGCTGTAATGAAAATCAAGGACTGGTATAGCCATGATGTCGAATTTAACGAGTGATGCTTGCTGGGTCTATCATACGATTGCTTGGCGATGGGAATCTCGCCAAGCTCAGTTTATATTTACAGTGAACTATTGGGATGCTGTCATACACAAAGTAACAGCTACCGAATGTAGCACTTAAAACATCGAGTGCATCCCGCTCATTATAAATTTGAAATACAAGTTATGGATTGCCCAAAAACTTGAAGGACTATCAGAATATATGCATTGTATTATAACATTAATCATTACGATATAACTAAAATGTGTATCCAAATATTTTTAGGCTAACAGAATCTGCATTTAAATAAACAAGACCTATTAGGCTACTTTTGCATGGTAGCACAACTACATTTTTAGATTTCATAATGAGTAGCCTAGTTGTGCATTAAAGGGCTGTACTCAATAACAATGAAAAAAATGAAATGCCGGCTTCAAACTTCAAGCTATGATTTCCCCGTATTCTTCTACTAGAAATATAGCTCCGTTGTTCTAATGACCTCACCCTCCTCCTCTCACCTAGTTCAATTTAAAGTTACACTTTCAACCCCGTTAGGATGCGTGAGCTACTGATGACCTAACTATTGAAAAAAAAACCTATTCTGGCGTTAAATTGCCCTCCCCTACTCGCAGCACTTTGGGGCCATACACATCAGGAAGGTCTAGGTCGGTGTTGTATCTCGTGCAAATTTACTCACAACACGACTACACACTATGGTTGTATCCAGGACTAAAGCTGCGACACTCGCATAGAGTTGGATTTATTCGTTAGATCATTGTGCTTCAAATTCTGTTTCAATATTGGATTAGATGGATATAATGTTGGAATTCAGTTAGTTTGTTATATTATATTTATCTAAATGTCGTGTACCATCAGAAACTAAATTGGTTGACAAGACACATGTGTAGGCTAAAGAATGACCTCTAGATCGAGCCAAAGATGGCTGGTTAAGGTTGACAAACTGTGGTTTTCAAATTTCATGGTGATGCTTTTCTAAAGGATTTTATTTTGTGCTTTCTTTGGGATTATTTTGAGTGATGTGATTATTCAGAAGTAATTTGTAAGTAGAAGCTTTTCACATCCAACCATTTTAATTTTAACAGTTTGCGATTGATCTGCGGCTGGGCTGATTAATTTACATTTAGCAAAACTACACACTACACGGCGCCCTCAGGCCGTTGTTTCAGCATGCCCTACTAGTCAATTATAGACAAGTTTAGAATCAATACATAGAGCCAACACACCGATTTTTATTTAATAATCTTCAAGAGCCATTCCTCTAGGGTCGTTATTTTCACGAAATTGTCGTTTTCCATTTTGTTGTCAAGAAACTGGTATTTAGTTCACGAGAACGTATGAAAACCACTCATGCGTGACCGAAATCGTCGATTGGGTGCCTTCACGTGGTTTGACACGTGTTGACCTAGGCCATTGTTTACATCAAAAAATCACCCAAAACGGCCTTTTTTTCGAAAAATTTGTTTGAAAAAATGGCTAAGTCCAGTTTGAAAAAGTGTCATTTTCGGGCCCATTTTAAAAAACGTAAAAAAATCCGAACTACACGTAGAAAAAAATGGCTTTTTCGGCCCTTTTTAGCTCCAAAAACGCGTCGCGTGACGTCACCGTGACGTCAGCCGCCAACCAAAACGCGGAGAAAGCGCGCGTTTGATTGGTTGGCGGCTGACACTATGAAATCCTCTAAGGACGATTCGAATGGTATACCAAATGGAAAATGAATGACAAATCAGCGTTCTTGGCCCTCGACCGGCATAACATGACGTCGTGGACTTGTGTGCACGAGCTTTTAATTCCCGCCATGGTAATTGCGTCAGCTTAGGTAATTTACTCACCGGAAAATAACAAAAAGCAACTCGTTGATAATAAAACTATATCTAGTTATTTTATTATTTATTAAATTCTACTCCACATGATATTCATACCATTTTATGAAGTAATGAACACCTGCATAAATCAAATGACCATAATAAATATTTTTATTTCAAATTCTAATTTTAAATAATAAATATGCTTAAAATAATATGATAGTAATAGTTATGATAGTTTATAAATACAAATACATTTTACACTCAATTCACATTGTATTGAGTCAACAGCGTGGCAGCTGAGGTTCATACATGGTATTAGTGTCTTTTTTTTTACATTACATTTTTTTTTTCATCTTGAAAACATGACGTATGTGATTATTTTTTTAAAATAAAATCTCCAAACATCGTCACTCGCGTGATTGCTTGCTTACGTTTACTATCCTGTGGATGAAAAATCCCACCACGGTCGCGGGGTCACCGTGACCTATAGTACACGTCATAGAATGAACAGGCGTACACGAGATGGTCGGTGTCTTCACTTCTCTCTCTCTCTCTCCCCCCCCCCCCCCTTCTTCAAGCAAATTGAATTACAGACCTACTTCCCTACTTCTGGTCATTTTTTTTTAAAAGTTCGGTCATTTTTTTTAAAGTTCACATATCAGGCATGCTAGACAGCCAGCTGTATAAAAAAAAAAATTAACTAGATCTACGTCTAGCTTAAAAAAATAAATAAATAAACGCTTAAAATGACCGTAAACAGATTATTTAGCGCCAAAAAAAAGGCAGCTGAACGAGCATTTTTTTAAAATACGCAGCAATGAAAAGGGCTAACGGCCGATCAATTAAGTCTAAAAAACGCCCGTAATTAGGCCTAGCTCTGAAAAAGGCCACTGAACGAGCATCACTGATTATATAAACGAATAGGCCACGCAGCGTTGACGAGGTTAACCACCGGTCACGAATGCAGCAACTGTCGGCCCACAGTGAAGAAAAAATCAATATACTAATAAAATTACTAATACAATAATAATGTCCATAATTTTACTTTTTCCACACATGCTACAATTGAATTATAATTAAAATACTAGACTTAACAGTTCATTCCGTAAAAAACAAAAACTAGTTGTTTCTGTCTGGCAACTAGCGTAACAATGACGCAACGTTACTAAAAATAGCAGAGAGAAATTGTCGCATGGTTACTTACGGGGTAATTGGATTTTTGGTAAAGATCATCCATAATACTGTAAATATACATGGTAAATATCTCAATTATATATTAATCTACCGTTATACGGGCCGTTTTCCCCGTTATACGGTCGTTTTTGGCCGCGGTTCAGTTTATACGGAGAGTGCTCCACTGGAAATCCTCTCATTATTTACAACTACAATTCTAGCGTTTTTTTCTGGCATTCTAAGGCATATTATCCATTTTATTAGCATCTTGTGTTAAAATAATGATAAGAATTTGCGAGATTAACAGTTTTTTCATTTGTCGTGGATTGGACCCTAAAATAAACGTAAAAACCGTCAGAAAACGATGCGTGACGTTTCAGGGTCAGAGGTCAATCCAGCCATCTAAGCAATGAGGCGGCCTAGTAAAACTCCATTTTAGTGTATTTTATTCTCCGTTTCTCGTTTACCTCCAGTTGAGCGTATTTTATAGTTTTTTCTTACTATATGCGAAATCTACTCAATTCTCAATTTAAACATGACAACTGAATAAAAAACGTCCATACTTTATCCCCTAGGCACTAATTTGGGGGTTGTAGCGAGTTTAGGCTAAATTATTGAATTTTAAAATGTTTTGTCACTCACAGCTATGATATGACGGATCATCCATGACAACCTGGTTAAAAGTTGAAAGGTTTAACTTTTTAAGTGACCGTGAAATAGATCTAATTTTTTTTCACAAGAGAGTTCCTAAAAGTAGAATTGGCCTGTCTATCGTCGGGATATATTTATAGAGGAAAAAAATTTAAGAGAATGTCATCAGAAAAGAATTTTAAAAAAGACAAGACAGAAGTGATGTTTGAATTCTTTTATTTCTTTAATTTTATAACATTTTTTATTGTACAAAAGAGCAAAATAAAAAACCATGCCAGGTAAACGTATCCATTCAAATAGCGGTCACGTGGTCAAAAAAAATATAAAAAATTGGTTGTCATTTTTTGGACACATCATATAAAAAAAAGTGTTGAAGATATTTGATTTATTTTTTCATAGAATGATAAAACTAATAATGCTTTACTTTGGAAATCAATTTTGTGATATGGAGATCTATATTTAAAAAGTTATATTATTTTGAATGACACCGACTTTAAATTTAGCCTACATTCTCCAAAGCAATTTTTGAAAATGCTTTTCTGGCATATTTCGACTTGCCACCTATAGCATGTTTTTATAACGTGAAAACCTGCCATTTTGCTCGTGGTAAACATTTTTTAAAGTAATTCCAAGGAGGTCTCTGGAACTAAGTCGAAAAACTCGCCGGAAGTCATGGTCCGATCCTTACGCCATGTTCTGGTTAGCAACCAAGGACGCTTTCAAGTTAGTGAGAACCTAGTATTTTATTATAATAACCGAAACACCAAAACATTGGGAAAAACACAATTTATTTATTTGTTTGTATTTTTGTTTTAACAAATGAATAAAAAAAACAAAGAGACTGACTTTGTTTTAGACTTTGATAATTTACTTTGAGAGTGTCTCTCAGAAGGCTAGTCGTACTTCGCTATTTTTAGCCGACCAATCAAATTTATTTTTAAATTCATTGTCCTGCGCATGCGTGCATAATTATTTTTATTATTTTGTGTATGACATAAAATTTTGGGTCTCATCGTAACTGTTCCGGCGATCGAAGTGGTTGTGCTTGGCTAGTTTGTTTTCGAGGCGTGGGTTCAATTCCCTGTGGCTCAGATTTTTTTTTCTATTTTTTGCTTTTTTTTTTTAAATTTTACTTAAGGATTAGGGTTAAGCATTAGGGTTAGGGTTATGCATAGGGTTAGGGTTAGTGAGATCTAAAAAATAATTAGTTCTAGATCTATATAGCATGTAAAAGATGAAAAAGGGAATTCAAGAATCACAGAAAAAATGCCTCATGCTGATTGGTCAGGGTACGAATAGCCTTCATAGGGCTATTTGTAGTTAAGTACGAATAGCCGCAGCCTTTACTTTTGTCAAAACTTCAGAAAAATCCAAATTTAGAATATTGAATGTGCTATATTCGTGTGTCAGTTAGGATTTTCATGGCAATGGGTGAAGTATGTAAACTCGTAAACGTAACTCACAATTGCAGGCGGTTAAGTTTGTATTGTTACAAATATCTCTCAGGCATGATACTATAACTATAAATAAACATTTATGAACTTACAATGACCCCAAAACTGAGGCCAACACCATTTCAAATAGCTATTTCCCAAGCTACGATGTATGCTAATAATTAAAGTCAATGTGAACTCACGGTGAACCCGCGACTGTGTAAGGATTTTTCTCCCGCTGATGATCACACGATATTTAACTGGAACAGTTCTAATGCTTTTTTATTTTATGGTTTTTTTTTTTACCTTTCTTAATTAAAAATCACATTCATAAAAAAATAAGTAGATCTATTGTTTTCCTAACATTTTTGTGTGTTTCGGTTGTGTTTATAATAAAATACGCTCAACTAGAGGTGAACGTGAAGCGGGAATAAAACAAGCTAAAATTGATTTTTACCTAAAAATGACCACTGAATAATGAACATCCAAATTTAGGCTAATAGATTTTCTCACTAAATCTAAAATTTACAATTTTCAAATTTAGACATGATCACTGAATAATAAACATCCATATTTAATCCATTAGGCACTAATTTTGAGGATTTTAGTTTGTTTTAAACTAAATTACTTAATTTTATATTTACTGTCACTCACTGCCATGGCATGACACACCTTTTCCATGACAAACAATGTTATATCACTCTTACGTCTGAAGCCACGGCAAACCACGAATAGGTTCGACTTTTTAATTGACTATGCACCAGAGTTTCTCACTGGTAATAAACAAAATAGAGGTCACGTGGTTTTAAAAAAAATTTAAAAAATAAGAGTTGCGACATGAACGCTGGTCTTATTAAAAAACAGCTCACAATTTTTTATTTCTTTTTTCATAGACTGATAAAACTAATAATGCTTTACTTTCTCACACATTTTTGTACATACAACCCTGATATTTTAAAAGTTCTATACATTTTAATGAAACCAACTTTTGAATTTACTATACATTCTCCAATCCAAATTTTAAAATGCTTTCTGGCATAAATAGCTCTGCCACCTGTAGTTTATCAGGCCTATTAAATAAAAACATGCCTTTAGAATGTTTTTAAAAAATGTCAGCGCATTGAAACTGATCAGTCCTAAGCGAGAAATATGCATTCCAAACATCGTCACAGGCCATTCATGCTCGTTCGCTCGCGCTGTTTTGTCAACGAGAAACATGGCATGCCACAACACGAGCACAGCACACACATGTCCTAGTCCATATGTACTTCATTTACTAATTAGCCCCAAGGTTTATAACATTAAACTTATTAGGCCTATTACATTTTATTAATAAAAACATTATTTAGCCTAATATAAATATTTGAACAAAGAATAGTGAAAATAATATTATAATTATAGTCTAATGAAAATTCATCAATAAGAATTAGGCTTAACAAAAATCTATTAGACTATATCATATTTGAAAGCACCATAAATAATCAAATAAGTAAATGTAATAATAAGCCCACTAATACTAAATCTAGTAACTCTCACTAATTCTAGAGATCAACACAGTCAAAAACAAAGTATTAATTCCTTGTAATGTAGTTTATATTAGGAACTACTCATGCAATGTGATATAGCAAAGATTTGTAAAATTAATAAATTTTGTTAATGGAAGTGAAAGATTTACCATGATGATAAATTTTACATTTTATATAAAATATAGAACTAAATATCTATATAACATTTCTTTTTTTAGTCTTCAAAAGGTGAAATTAGAAGAATACCTGTACCTTCACATCGCTACACACCATTACAGAAAGATTGGCTTAAAATTTTCACACCAATAGTGGAGAACTTGAAGCTTAATGTCAGATTTGTTGCAAAAAAACGACAAGTTGAGATAAAGGTTATTGTATTTTTTTTCTTTTACCATTGTAAGCAATTTTTTTTTTTGGAACTATTACATTTGTATGCTCATTTAATTTTGAACGTCAGGATTATTATCAAAATATGTTTTACTTAAAGCATTATATGCCAGCATTTATACATGATGTTTAATTATGTCATATCAGGCAGGAAAAGAAACTGAAGATATTGGAGCTTTACAAAGAGCTGAAGATTTTGTTAAAGCTTTTATTTTGGGATTTGAAGTTGATGTAAGTTGAGATATTTTTACTAAACAGGACTTTTTTTTTTTTATAATCTCAGATACCTGAAAAAAATGAGATAAATAAAATACTTTAAAAAAAAAATCCAATTTATTATTCTTGAAACATAGCATGAGTTACTTACCAATTTGTATTGACAGGATGCATTGGCCTTACTGAGACTGGATCATTTGTATTTAGAAAGTTTTGATGTGACTGATGGTAAGTTTCTTGAGATAATGAGTTAATCTTAAAACCCTAGGAATCTAAAGGCATTACCTCCCTCTTTATTTAAATATTACATTTTTTATATAATTTTAGTCAATGAAATGAACTACCTAAGCTGCTGAGGTAATCTTACCTCACATGGTTTATATTTATCACAAGTTTGTTTAAACTTTTGGGCTATAAAGATTTTCTTATTAAAACTATTTGTGTTTCATCCTAGTCAAACCACTCAAGGGAGATCACCTTTCTAGAGCAATAGGCAGGCTGGCAGGGAAAAATGGAAAAACAAAGTTTACAATAGAAAATGTCACAACTACCAGAATCGTCTTGGCAGACAGGTAAAGAGTTCAGTTTTTCTAGCATCTAAAGGTGGTATTGTTTTGTTTTTAGTGTCTTGGGCACAAGTAGGGAAAAAGGTTGATACAAAGTAAATTGAAGAACAACAAATAAAGTAAAAATTGTATGATCTTGTACAAAAAAATATGAACTACTAAAATTTGAATAAGAAGTTTGTTTTTACAGTAAACACGTTTAAATTTGCTGCAACAAATTTTTCTCCTGATTGTTGCACCAGAAATTAAGTCAGTGTTTTTCATAATGTGTGTTCTATGATAATTAAAGCCGATCTTCATTTTAAAATTTCACTCTTTTTCAGTAAAGTCCACATCCTGGGATCTTATCAAAATATTCAGATAGCCAGGAGGGCAATTTGTAATTTAATTCTTGGTGAGTTCCTTCAGTTTTAAAAATGTGTGTTGATTCTCTGTTATTTTTTTATACTACCAAACTACATTGTACAACAAAAGGTTGTGTCCTCAAATCCCTCTAAGTACCAGATATTTAAATAGTTGTTTGAGTTATTAGACATTTGTTATGTTAGTAATACTACAGCACTTAATAACAGTACTAAATAACATGTATTGAATAAAATAGAAAGTCTAATTTACAAGATTATGTTTTAAAATTAATTTAGCTCGTGGTTAATTGTCATGTATATTTAATCTTGCAGGCAGTGCACCAAGCAAAGTCTATGGACAAATGAGGACTGTGGCTTCAAGAGCAGCCAGTAGATTCTAAAGCTTTTATTGTAGGAAGGGATTAGTCTGAAATATATATATGCTATATCAAATCCTTGTCTCATGATTTTTACTCTTTTTTGACTGTTAGAATTGCTTTCACTTCATTGTTTTACAACTGCTTTTGTGAGGAAGAAAAGCTTTTCTCTAGGATCAAATAATGATAAAAATGAATTAAGTTTAGTAAACAAAATGTTATTAAAAAATTAGGTAACTGCAACATCTATATATATAATTCTCTTCTGGGAGCCGTTAGAAAACAAGCTGTAAGTGCGCCTTTGCAGTCCCCTCTCTTCCTCACTATCACTACCACCCCCACCCCACCCCCACATGATCTGGTGAGCTGTGGTTCACTCTAAATGTTTACAAATCGTATAACCGGGTTTGTTGACGGCTATTATGGGCAGATAATTTAGTTTGAAACGATTTTAAACGTACAGGAGGTAACTAAGAGGAGGCTGCTATTCACGGGGGGGGGGGGGGGGGGTTAGTGTTTTAAAGCAAATTTTCAGTGGCAGCATTGGTACTGTCGAATTCACAAATTATGAATTACTGAAAAGTAGAAAATAAAACTAAATAGGGGCGTATGATACGCAGCGGGTCGACTCGTTATATATATAATTCTCATGTGGGGACCATGCGGGACACCACCACCACGTATGCCCTGCAGTCATATCACTACAACCCCCAACCCTACCAGTCTGGTGAGCTGTGTTTCATGACAAATGTTTACAATCGTTGAGCCAGGTCGAATTAGTGACGGCTATTAGGGGCAGATAGTGTAGTATTTAAACGATTTGAAACTAAGGGGAGGTAACATTTTCTGCTTGATCTTTTCATCGTCTGTAAACTGTCGTCACAGACGGCTGCTTTCACTAGGGGTGGGGTGTAATGTCAGAATTCATGAATTACTGAATAGCAGAAAATAAACAGCTAAATACTGGCGTATGTATGCGACTTGGCTTGTAAAAAATATAACAGTATAAATATCACTACATGCTGCATAACACCTTATATGTGATGACAGCAGCAGTTTACAAACTGGATAGCGCAAATAAAGTTGAACAGAAATAAATATATAAGCAAATATGTAGACTGTTTTAAGAATGTATCAATGGTATATTATTGTTCATATATTAGTTAATCTATACATGTGTATATCATTTATTTATTAGTGTCTCCCAAAACCCCATTTAAAACAACTTTATTAACCACTGATAAGTCAAGGTTTTATTATTACCACACTTTACAAGCTTTTTAGATATTACAGATGTTGTCATGATTTGGGTCAGTCAGTTACCAGATAAAATTGGAAGTTATTGGTTAGACAAAGATTAAAATAATGTCAGTAGGCTATTTTTTCTGGTTGCAACATTTTGTGCTGACCACACTAACCCTTCATACGCCTAGGTCACAGAACCCTGCACACACACACATGTATATATATATATATATATATATATATATATATATATATATATATATAATCTGCTGGGTTTATCTCAGCATTACATTTTCTTCCCCCCCCCTCCTCACCCGTGCTTGAAGATCGTCGTATTGTTTCGTAAAGCGGAGTGTTGTACAAACGAAAACAAGATAGGCTCGCGTCGGGTTACCAATATTGGTAGGTAGTTTTGTTGAACGACGGACATCATCTGCTGCCTTGTTATTCTTGTGTGACTGATGTTTGTTTCAACTGAAATAGTACTGTTTTTATCAACACTGATCAGCGAATCCCCATTGAGCTTGTAGCTATGACACACTATTCTATTTTTTACAGACTAAGAAAGAATTTAAGGTATGTAGTATTAATTGATTTCTGCTTTATTGAAAACTGTTATTTAGAATTTTTTTTAAATGCCAATGAGCTAAAAATAAACGTCAGATGATTAAGGGAATTCCCGTTAAAGTATGTCGATTTCTAAAAAAAAGTATCTGGAGTGGGCTCCCTTACATTCGTGTGTATGGGTTGGTATGGCGCTTGCAATAGAACAGTTCGTGGGTTTGTGACAAAACCGCTTTTTTTTTTTTTGAGAACATACATAGAAGTGAAACGTTCTTAGAATTACCACATTTACCGGAAATAGGGTATAAAACATATATTACAACATTTCGTCCACCTAGACTAATTGAAATGGTACTGAAGTTATCGTCTTCATACGGAAGCAAAGTACCACTTCCGGTTGACGGAAATTACTCAACAGTTGTTAGAAGCGTGTGTACACAATGTACTATTTTTTATATAATATTTCGTTCATCAAACTGAAATGGTTATTTAATTATCGTTATTTTTTTTTTTTAGAACTGGAAATAGAGTAAAATATCACTTTCGGAAATCGCTAAAAATGTACATACCCAAGTAGAGAAACATACTTTAACGGAAATCGCTCAAAGTTTGAAAGAAACCTGAGTACAAGATCTAATATGTAAGTGAAATTTCGCCCGTTTGATTAAAACGGTTCTCAAGTTATCGTTTTTTTTTTTTTTGGTAAACTGGAAATAGAGTAGGTACCACTTCCGGTTGCCGGAAATAGCACAAAATGTTATAGACACCTACGAGTAGGATCTAATAGTTTTACGCATATATGACATTTCGTCCACCGGTACTCAGGTTATTGTGTTCGACAAGGACACACCGACATTATTGCAAACCTGGGGTTTTCCGACTGGAGGGGGGGGGGGGGTGTAAAACGTCGAGAATGCTTAAACATCTCTTTTTCGATTCTTTAGCACGACTACAATACTTTCTCTATGAAAATCCCCATATAAGATGAAGTAAAAACAAGGTCGTGTGGCATGTAGTTTAAAATGTAGAATCGAATATGCTAGTGATTTAAAAATAAACCTCTCATGTAATTAAGGGAATTCCCATTTAAGATAGGCAAGCTTTAAAAAAAATAATAATTAAGATCGTGTGAAATGTTGTTTATAAGTAGTATGGAAAAGTGACTAACTTTGTAGAAGAAACTGACTTGATTCTATACACATACCATGCATAATGATTTATGAAGTGTGAGTATAATAGTTATTTTATGGCACCGTTTGATTTGGCCTACATTTAGCTTGCATAAACCCTATCATGTGTTTTGTCTTTTATCAAAGTCACTCATCACTTTGTTTTCTTCCTTAGCCTGCCGTTTTAACTTCCATACAGCTAAATAGACTCTACTTCTGGCTGACCTGCCCCAGCCTTGTGAGAATCTTTTCTTTGACCGTCTTCTCACTGGTAACTGTGCAGCTATCTTTGTATCATGGGCAACGAGCAAATCAAGTCGGCCCTAGCGGCAGCCAGAGAAGATGGCGTCGACCTTGACTTTCTATCCACAATGTTTAGAAAACACATGAGCAAGCAGGGCGATAGTGACCGATCTTTATCGGAGTTTAGAAAAAATAGGTCGAGTAAAAAAGGTTTATTGAAGAATTCAGCGCAACTGGCGAAGGCAATTAGTGACGACGATCTGATGAACAAATGGATGGGCGAAGGCTCTTTTGACCAGCTCGATACAAACGTGGACGCCACCCCTCTCATGGTATGCGCCATGCTAGGAAGAACTAGACTGGCAGAACAGCTTCTTAACATGGGCGTAAACCCAGATGCTAAAAATAAAACGGGCTCGACGGCTTTAATGCTGGCTTCAGCGATGAACAATGAAGATTTAATACGGCTGCTGATTAGCAGCGGCGCTGATGTAAACGCTCAAGACGGCTCAGGCAATACCCCCCTGCTTGTTGCCATTCTATCCTCGAGTGAGGTTACTGTAAGACTTCTCTTGGACTCTGGAGCAGACATACATACTCGGTCAAATAATGGCGTTGATGCCATCTTAGCGGCCGCACACGAAGGCCAGGCTGATATCATGCGATTACTGAAGAGAAAAGGCGCGAACGTAAACTCCACTGATCGCAAAGGTTGGACGCCCCTGATGTTAAGCTGTCAGTTTAATTACCACGAAGCAGTAGAGTTCCTCATTGACGACTGTCAGGCTGACGTCAACGCTGTTCAGCACAGTGGGGGCACGGCTCTGGAGATCTGCGCGGGTCATGGTCACGTCAGAAGCCTCAAACTTCTGCTCAAAGCCAAGGCTAACGTCAACCACGTCAACAAATTGGGATTCACGGCTCTTACAATGGCAGCTGTAAAGGGGGAGCTGCTAACATTGGAGAAACTGATCAAGTACCAAGCAGATGTTAACATAGTGGACAAGGAAGGGCGCACGGCGTTGATTCGGGCTTCAATAGAGGGTCAAAGAAGTATCGTCACTCGCCTCGTGAAATCTGGCGCCAATCTAAATATACCTGATAACGAGGGGGACACGGCCTTGATGTGTGCTGCGCTAAATGGACACGTATCGGTGGTGGAGATCCTGCTCGACTCAGGGGCTGAAGATCTGCTCTGCAACTTCAAGTCCATTAATGCGTTGAGTATGGCAGTTCAGAACAGCCATACGTACATCGTGCAGAGGTTGATTGCAAACCACGACAAGCCATATCCATTTCTCAACCAACGCCAGAAGAATGGGATCACGGTACTCCACAGAGCGGCAATCGCTGGCAATACAGACATCACGCGGATGCTGATAGATGCTGGGGCCGATGTAAACGTGGGCGACAAGGACGGACACTCACCCCTATGCCTTAGTGCCCATCAAGGGTATGCTAATATAGTTCAGCTGCTTATCGATGCTAAAGCGGATGTCAACTTGGCGGACAAAAATGGCGTAAGTCCTTTGATGATGGCTTCCCTGAACGGCCACTTATCCACAGTTATGGCGCTTGTCAAAGCGGGTGCGCATGTCAACAGTACTGACCTACGAGGACGAACATCCTTAATGCAGGCTGCCTACAATGGCCACGAAAGTGTTGTAGAATTCTTGTCTAAAAATGGAGCAAGTCTTGATTTAGTGGAAAGAAAATGCTGGAATGCGTTAATGTTAGCCGTTCAGTTTGGCCACACAGCTGTGGTTAGATTTCTGCTGGGTCAAGGAGTCCCGTCTGATGCCAAAAGTAAAAAAGGAGCTACGGCATTGCACATCAGTGCTGGGCACGGGAACTCGGACATCGTTGATGCCCTGTTGGAACACAGGGCAGTGGCTAACACGATAGATGAAAATGGAGTCACTCCGTTGATGCTCGCGTGCTTTAAGGGAAATATAAGCTGCGTTCAACTGTTGCTAGCCTACAACGCTGATGTGAACGCGTCGTGCCGCAATAACATCACACCTTTAGGGCTGGCGTCGCACCAAGGACACACTGATGTGGTCAACCTACTCCTACTAAATGACGCTGATGTCAACCAGGTTGACGGGGAAGGAAGTAGCCCATTACACAATGCTGCATTGAATGGTCATCGACTCATTGTTGAAGAACTAATACAAGCAGGGGCACAGGTCAATGTACTGGACAAGAAGAATCGAACAGCACTCATGATGGCTGCACATAAAGGTGACGCGGAAACGGTGAAGCTGTTAGTTGAGAAAGGAGCCAACGTAAACAGATGCGCTAAAGATGGCTGGACGCCGCTAATGCTATGCACGCAGTATGGGAAAACAGAGTGTATGAAAGTGTTGATTGGGAAAGATGCAAACCTTGACTATGTCAACCACGAGCGAAACACAGCCTTGCACATCTGCGCTGCCAATGGAGAAAAAGCTGCAGTGCGTTTGCTGCTGGAGTCGGTGGCCTGTCCGAATTACCAAAACAAAGATGGCTACAGCCCGCTCATGTTGAGCGCACATAACGGTTATTTGGAGATTGTGCAATACATTCTCCACAACCAATGTTTTGAACCTGACCTAGAGCTGAAAGATGAGCAGAAGGGAAACACCGCCTTGCTCATAGCCTGCAGACGTCGACACGAGGACATTGCTAGGGCACTAATCAACAAAGGTGCTAAGGTCAACTATGCTAATTTTAAGGGCCGCACAGCTTTGCATATCGCTGTTAAATCTGGCACCAAGGGCATTGTTGATGCATTGATTGCCAAAAATGCTGACGTGAATGTCGTAGACGGTAAAGACAACACTCCGCTAGCCATTGGTATTCAGTGCAAACATTACGCCATCTGCAAATCTCTTCTAGCTGCCGGTGCTGATGCTAAGAAAACATATGGGGCTTGTGGATCTGCTCTCGAGCTCAGTGTCAAGAGCGGCAACTCTCAGATTATGAGACTGCTTTTAGAAAACACATTTGTAACTCCAGAAGAAAGAGAGAAACTTGCCGATGTAGCATTTAAGTGTGGTCGTGCCGAGGTTTGTGAGCTGCTGCTGGACTATAGCATTACCTGCCAAAGAACAACATCAGAAGGCATCAACTCTACCACGCCAGAAAGTATCAACTCTACCACGCCAGAAAGTTTCAACTCTACAACACCAGGAGGATCCAGTTCTGCTCCAGCAATCCAAGGTAGGCAAAGTGATTTAAGCGCCCTTTCAGCTGTTATAGGGTCACATTTATTTTACTTTCTCGTATACAAAGTATAGAGGAAGTATTGCAATCGCGCAAAAAAAATAAAGCAATCGAGATTTTACAAATCTCGGCGTTTTACACCTCCCTGAGAATGAAAAGCATAGTTTTGCAATTTGTCCGTATGTACGTGTGTGTGTATGTGTGTCTTGAGTGCCGTTACAGTTAGGTCGATGAAATTTCATATATAAGTATTACATCAAATTTTAAGCGATTTCCGGTAACCGGAAGTGGAACGTATTATACTTTCCATTTTTCAAAAGCCTATAACTTGCGTACTGTTTCAGATTGATAATAAAATTTCACATTTAAGTAAAAGATCTAATTCTCTGTCTTCTATCAAATTTTGAGTAATTTCCGTTGATCGGAAGTAGTAGTTTCCGATTTCTAAAAAAAAACTCATGTGAATTTATAAAGTACTAATAATATTCCGCACTATAATATACACATATTGTTTGGCGTTCACTTGGTTGCAATTTTTTTTTCTACGAGATTCTATTCTATTTTTAAAAGTTTAAGTAATTAAAATGGATTATAAATCATGTCTAATTATATCCTGAGTTGCCATCCCCCGTAGTGTTATATAAAAATACTAGCCGTCCCGGCCAGGCCCTGCTCTGGCTTCTGTGAAAAACCTTTCTGTTAAAGACCATTACCTGTGTTTAGTAATCATCATAAACCCGGCATTGCCCACCCAAACCACAACCAACCAAAACAGCAAAACGCAAACATAACGCTAACACAATTACAAATACAAACGAAAACAAAAACCTAACAACAAACCCAACCACAACCACAAACACCAATACAAACACAAAGAAAAAACAAACAACAAAGCAAACGAAAACAAAAACCTAACAACAAACCCAACCACAAACACCAATACCAACAAAAAAAAAAAAAAAAAAACGAAAAAGCAAACGAAAACAAACCAAATCCAAACGCAAAACCAACCAAAAACACAAATACAAACCCAAACAAAAAAACACAAACAAAAACGAAAAAAGAAAGAACAAAAACGAACCAAATCAAAACGCAACCACTAACGCAAACCCACCTAAACACAAAGAAAACACTAACGCGAACATAAACGCCCGGGGCGGAATCACCTGTTTTAGCTTAATGAACGACTATAGTACCCCAACTTATTCATAGTCTTTTGCACTCACCTAAACGAACGCGCCTGTTTCAATTTGATGAACAATTATAATACTCCAAGCTTATCCGTAAAATACCTACAACATTTACACTTGATCAATCCCCGCTAATTATGTAATTATTTTTTTTTCCCAACACCAAAACAAAGTAATTAAAAAAAAATTCATAAAAAACGTTTTAATAACAAGCTTTTATGTAATGATGCACTAAAAAGTAGAAAATAAATTATAGACTACTATTTAAATAACTAAAGAAAAGCGTGGGTCACTTTAGTATCTATTGGATACCTTTACTAATGTTAAGGAAGACACCCACGCTTTTCTTTATAGTTATTTAAATAGTAGTCTATAATTTATTTTCTACTTTTTAGTGCATCATTACATAAAAGCTTGTTATTAAAACGTTTTTACAAGCTTTTATTTAACTCACTTCCTCGTCATTCTGTCTGTCGTCAGTCTAGATAGAAACGCAGGAGTGAAAATTCGGACAGTTCTACTTGACCGATACGATTCACAGTTGGCACGTGGGTCAAGACATGAAGACAATGCAATCTGAAACTAAATTTGACTTAATTGGATGCCTAATTAATTTTTTATTAATTAATTAAAATTTGGACCGAATCAATAGGCATGTCTATCCAACCACACCACACGCGTCATCACGTTCAATAGCTGCGCCATCAGGTTTAATAGCTGCGCCATCACGTTCTATAGACGCGCAATGGTTTTTAGTCATGTAACACTATTGTAAATAAAACATGTAAAGTACTGAAAAAAAATTCATAAAAAAACGTTTTAATAACAAGCATTTATGTAATAATGCACTAAAAAGTAGAAAATAAATTATAGACTACTATTTAAATTACTATAAAGAAAAGCGTGGGTCTCTTCTCAAATATTAGTAAAGGTATAAAATAGGTACTAAAGTACTAAAGTGACCCACGCTTTTCTTTATAGTTATTTAAATAGTAGTCTATAATTTATTTTCTACTTTTTAGTGCATTATTACATAAATGCTTGTTATTAAAACGTTTTTTTATGAATTTTTTTATGAATTTTTTTTCAGTACTTTACATGTTTTATCTACAATAGAGTTACATGACTAAAAACCATTGCGCGCCTACTGAATATCACGTTCAGTAGGCGCGCAATGGTTTTTGAACGCAGCCATTACGTGGTCGTGATGGCGCAGCTATTGATGACGCGTGTGGTGTGGTTGGCTAGACATGCCTACTAATTCGGTCCAAATTTTAATTAATTCATAAAAAATCAATTAGGCATCCAATTAAGTCAAATTTAGTTTCAGATTGCATTGTCTTCATGTCTTGACCCACGTGCCAAATGTGAATCGTATCGGTCAAGTAGAACTGTCCGAATTTTCACTCCTGCGTTTCCGTCTAGACTGACGACTGACGACAGACTGACGAGGAAGTGAGTTAAATAAAAGCTTGTAAAAACGTTTTAATAACAAGCTTTTATGTAATGATGCACTAAAAAGAAGAAAATAAATTATAGACTACTATTTAAATAACTAAAGAAAAGCGTGGGTCACTTTAGTATCTATTGGATACCTTTACTAATGTTAAGGAAGACACCCACGCTTTTCTTTATAGTTATTTAAATAGTAGTCTATAATTTATTTTCTACTTTTTAGTGCATCATTACATAAAAGCTTGTTATTAAAACGTTTTTTATGAATTTTTTTTTCAGTACTTTACATGTTTTATCTACAATAGAGTTACATGACTAAAAACCATTGCGCGCCTACTGAATATCACGTTCAGTAGGCGCGCAATGGTTTTTGAACGCAGCCATTACGTGGTCGTGATGGCGCAGCTATTGATGACGCGTGTGGTGTGGTTGGCTAGACATGCCTACTAATTCGGTCCTGAGGTAGATTATGAATACAACGGAGACAGAAGCCATGAGTATGTAAACAGCTTTAATTGTTAACCGGCCAGGACGGAAGTACAATGCACAAGGGACATCACTCAAGATAACAATATTATAAATATAACTAATACAGAAGAGTGAGTTCCCTTGACCTCACAATTATTTCAATCTATTACATCCCTTTACCCTTAGAACACAATAACACATCTCTCAACAGAACAATTGATAGTATCCTAAAATCACCAATTATATTGTAACATGAACACTATGGTAGATTACATCCTTACAAACAATGCACAATATGCCACAACATAATCAAGATACAAAACAATGATGTCAAAGTCCTTTTGACCTTTAAAATCATAGGTCTAACTTATTTGGGACTTTGATTGTCCTGCTTGACCTTCTCAGTGGCTTTTGATTTGGTGACTCAAGATTCTGACCATCTGGATTCTCTATCTCAGGAGGTCTAGGATTTAAATCATTAACTCCAGAATTTACATTTTCTGACTCCAGACAACTTGGTTCACTCATATCAACAGAACTTGGTTGTGGAACAAACTGAGTTGGTGTGAACTGTTCATATTTGGTGGGATTGACAGATTCACACTTATTATCTGCACAAGTTATTTTTAACCTGGTATCCATTTTTCCTTTCTCCCATAGTTTCTTAGATACACATTCTCATTAACACCAAATTCTCTTTCAATGGGTGTTCTGTCATGATTTACTTTTTGAATTGGCATCTTTGATTGATCAATTTCCTCAGGTAATCTGATAGTGCTTTTTGGTAACCAAAAATACTGTTTATGAGTAATATTCTGGACCATATCACTTTGCAACTGTGATCCAGTATTTGAAATGGGTGTATTAAATGGCAAAAATCTTTTTCTTTTCTTTTGATGTTACCCTTTTAGTTTCTGTAAGTGCTAATGATGTTAGCAAAGTTGTTTGATGATCACATTTGAAATTGCCATATCACCATAATCATGTATTAAGTTACAAATACCTTGTTAAGGCAACTCTGACTGATAATGGACTGCATCTTCTCCATCTTTTATATTATCTTCACAAAGGTTTTTATTTCTTATTTAATATGGCTTTAAGTCCTCATTCACTGACTCTTCAGGCCAACCATTTTTACAGTATTCATATACTTTTATTAAGCACTCATCTTTTTGTGTTTCTCTTTTAATATCATTCACATTTATATTGGAGTTATCCATGATAGTGAAGAGAACAAATACATCTTCTGGTACATAGCTCAGGCTTTGGTTTTTTAAAGGTAATCTACTAAGACTATCTGCACTATTCTCAGATCCAGGTTTGTATTTCAATTCATAATTGTATGCAGTTAGTGTGATAGCCCATCTTTGAATTCTTGGAGAGGCATGCTCAGGTAGGGTTTTGTTTTCTCCAAATAAACCTAGCAATGGTTTATGATCTGTAAAGATGGTGAACTTCCTACCAAACAGAAACTTATGAAATTTCTTAACACCAAAAATGATGCCTAAGCCTTCCCTATCTAACTGAGAATAATTTTTCTCAGCCTGGTTCAAAGATCTACTGGCAAAAGCAATGGGTCTGTCACCCTTCTCATCCATGTGGGACAAGACTGCTCCTACACCATCTGGTGAAGCATCACATGTTAATATAAGTCTTTTCCCTGGGTCATAGTGAGTTAGTAAGGTGTCAGCAGACAAAGCCTCTTTTGCTGTATTAAAAGCAGCTTCTTGTTGTTTACCCCAGTGCCAAGTTGCATTTTTCTGTAGCAGCTTGTACAGTGGTGATAGTTTACCAGACAGATTTCCTATGAACTTTGCATAGTAATTTATCAAGCCCAAAAAAGCTCTTAGTTGTTGGGTATTTTCAGGTTTGGGTGCTTCTTTA